GTAATGAACAAAGGGAATATGAAACGGCCAAACCCAACCATGATTAACGGCTGTCAGAAAAAATCCACTTAAGCAAGACTCATATGATTATGTGCAACAATAAAAACGTCATTTGACATGTGTCATTTCGTAATTTGAACTAGATACAGGAAGTCATAAATGAAATCTACTAGCCTTATCGTTTCTTATATAGTGATGCTGTGGGCCATCAAAGGGCGGCACGGAATCTTCCGGCACTGTGAAACGAGGGTTTTTGTAACGGAGTCCATGGACAGAGAACTTGGGCTCGTTGTTGATTTCCCGAGCAAAGTCCGTGAAATCAGTGGGGCGATACATCGCATCGTTTTGAAGCAGCGTTGTTCGACACGCTGCAGGTAGGCCGAGCTCCGATGATAAGGAATCTCGGCAGAATTGTAGGCTTTTAGTCGGGTCATAAGATGAGACTGGCTGGTAAATCGAGGGCCTGCTATGGAACCCATGTATAGGCACATGGTATCGTGTGGAGTGGGCTGATCATCCCTGAGCTTCAGTAGCAGCAGCAGCCTGAATGGCCTTCTTCTTGCCCTTCTTGTAGACACGCTCATCGTTCGGATCGAAACCTCCGTTACCCCACAGCGCCCAGTCCTCGGTTTCCCTCATGTAATCCTCCGGCGTGAACGAGGTACCGTCGGCCTTTTCCTTCTCCAAGAGCTGGAAGAACCTATCGTAATCGATCCGAGAATGCCATTTGCCATTGACGTGGAACCGCTCGGACGCGATCAGCGCGCAACAACTGTGAGCGTGTTCAGCGGCGATACCATACTTCAGACCACGGCGCTCCAGCTCTGCGTTGAGAGAGGTGACAAACTGCTGAACCTCCTCGTAGAAAGGAACGTTCTGCATGGTCAGTCCAGCTCCGGCGCTGGTGCTAGTACCACAGTATGTCACGCCCTTGATTTCAACAAAGCAAGGCAGGGCCTTTTCAACCAGGTTGGCATATCCAATCACCTCATCGTCAATGTTGAAACCCTTGACCAGCGTAAGACGGAACACCGTCCGCTGGTAATGGCGCTTTTCCCGGAGGATATCCAAGCAGCGCTGGAAGCGCTCCCAGAAATCGCGGTGCAGAGGTCGATCGATCTTGCGTAGGCTCTCGCGGTTACTCGCATCGATGGAGACATAGAGTTGCGTCACCCGATGCAACGTTTCAAGCTGGTCAGGGTGCTGGGCATTGCAGACAAGGAAACTGGAGATGTGTTCGCTGTGCAACATGTCCAGGAAACGATTGATATGGGGATAGAAGATCGGCTCGCCGACCAAACTGAGAGCACAGTGACGGATCCGCATAGCTTCGGCGAATCGCTCCGCACGCACACCCGGAACACCACGCATCATCTTGATCTTCTTGTAATGACCCTCCTTAACTCCATTGAAGATGAGTTCCGGATCGTCCACCTTCCAGCGCCAAGTGGTGCCGACAGGGTTAGTACCGTGACGCCAGCAGAAGATACATTTGTTGCTGCAAGAAAGCGAAGGAGTTGCCTCCATGCACAGGTGAGAGCGAATACCGTAGAATGAAAACTTATAACAGGAGCCACGACCACGCAGGGCAGACTTGGTCCAACGACAGATCTTGACGCCAGAGTGCGAACCAACAATCGTATATCCTTGCTTCGTCAGAGAGGCATAGGTTGGCGAGGTCTTGGGCACCATCTCTTTTTCAGTAGCGGGCGCAGGAGACTTTCCGCCCGTAGTGAAGTCCACGGGGATAGGAGATCCGGATGCAGCGTCCGAGCTGAATTTGATATCTTCCAGGTCGACCACCGATTGATTCTTGTTCCGCTTCCGACCGTTTGCTTTGTCGGACTCCGAACCTTCGTCGTCCAAATCCTCCTCATCACTTTCGAGCGGATCACCGCTACCAGGGACACCTTCACCTAGGCCGCCATTTTCGACGATTTCACCGAGGATATCCTGTAGGCCACGGGACCACTCCTTCAAGGCCGATTCCGCATCGCTCTTTACATCACCAAACCCAAGAGGGTAGGCCCTCTTCCTGCCTGTGAGTTTCGCCATCCAACGGTCCAGTTCCTTGGCCTGTGAGCAGAAGCCTTCCTCTTCAGTAGGCCACCCTTCCTTGTCGCCAAATCCGAAGACAGAATAGCCAGCGAGACCGGACAGGGGCGCAGTATCAATGCGGAAGTCATGATGAGTTTCATCAAGGTGACCAAGGAAGGTGTTCAAGATCGTATCGATGTTGTAAGTCGGGATCAGCATGCAATAGACATAGCGTGTTCCTGGCGAGGTCGATGGGGGCTTTGGGGCGCTGATGAAGTAGTCGTCAAAATCGACATACGACAGGTCATGAATCTGAGGGGGAAGGAGGCCTCGTTCCCGATTGTCAGGATCGGCCCGATCGCGCGCAGCAGCACGCAATTCTTCCAGCAACACTTGGGCATATCTCTCGGTGTTTGCGGTCAACGAAGCGAAGAAGATAATGGGTTGGATGAAGGAGACAGCCGGTTCCTGGTCAGAACCTCTGCGTCGGCCAGCAACCTTTAGCGGCTTCTTTCCTGTGACCCGCTTCGGACCGGCCTGCTTTTGCGACGCGTCCTTCTCCACGACCGAGGGCTTTGAGTCGGTTCCGACATCCTTCTCCGTAGAGTTGCTGAAGGTCTTTTCACGTTTCTCCGGGGAATGGCTGCGAGGCGACGACGGGATGGAGGAGGCAGTAGCAATCTTGGACTTGGGCTGCAGTTTACGATAGGCGCGAACGAGAACGAGAAGGGTAGCGAGAGCGAGGAGGACAGGCAAGCGGTAGGAATGCCAGAAGGCCAAAAGACCTAAGCAGAATGAACCATTAGTACTTGCACGATCGCAGAGGGAAAGCATAATTACCTTCGTTTCCAGATCCCTCCATCTTAAGTAGATAGAAAAGAACAGACGAGATCCGTGTGACAGTGGTGGGATCTGAGAGCCCTTGTCGCCGCGGAAAGACTCGAAGAGGCGGGCCAGATAGAGTGGGCGGGGAGCACTGGGTGAACTAGAACTGAGGGGTTGACGAAGTCCTGGGGACACATCGCAGTAACCGACCGAATCGGTACTTGGGCGAATGCAAGTCGCAAGGACTAAACACAATGAGACGAATGCAGCCCAGACCCTTCTCGTTAAAGTAGAGTCAATGCTAGTTCTGGGGTCGGTTGAGGTTCTTTCACTTTCAGTTCCTCGGGATTTTCGAGGAATTTTTTGGCTCCAGCGGCGAGGCCTTTGATTGGTTCCCGCACTGAACTGCCCGATGGGGCAGGCATCTCGGGGAGCCTCAGGAGCCTATCCAGTTCCAGCATTTGTAATGATCTCAAGGAGTCCCCCAACATACTCAAAATGCTCTTCGTTATCACATCAGCAGAGGTGATCATAAGTAGGACTACAACTACCGCTAGTGGTAGCACATATGCAAATGGAAATACCTGTATCTTGGTAGGCAGCCACATCCCAATGGCCGCTGCTAAGACGCCTGAGCCACAGTGGTGTGGCTGGTGACTATTTGCCCACCATACTTACGAAACGACATGTAAGGTGACGCCCCCGTTGCTTATAATGACTTGAAGCTATTTGAAGCTATCACTTATCAAGATTAAGATATGTAACCAAAGCTGAGGGGCATTTATGATCGTTGATGAGCATCTGTAATAGCACAAAGTATATAAAGTAGGGTAGATTTGCTGTTACCTTTCAATCCGCTCAATCGGAGTCTCTTTTTAGTACGGCATACTAACTATGGCGACGGCGAGTATTTGGCGGAGGTGGAGGAGGAGGAGGCTAAAAGTGTCATCAATACTCCGGATCTTAGCATCCATAACAGTGTTCCGAACATACCGGAGGAGAATGATTTGGAGAGTTTGATGTGGATGACGTGGCAGGTGATGGAGGTGGAGGCGGCTGATAGTTTCATCATTACTTTCGCTTTTAGCGCCCCATAACAATATTTCGAACATACAGGTTGAGAAGGGGATCGAGAGCGTGAAGGGGAACGTGCAGGTAATGGCTTTTCATCGAATCAACACCTGTCTTCCTTGTATCCATTCCCCATTTGCGTCAACATACGGTCCTTGGGGGCAGCGGAGGCGGCGGAGGAACTTCTAGTATGTTTTGACAATTGTTCACTAGTGTACCCGGCGAAAGCGATCCGATGTACAGTGGAGTCCTTGTCGAAGAATACCTCCTAGAGTCTATATCAGCATCGTATCGAACACAATAAAAAAAGCCAGAATGGAGGCATAATACCGAGTAGTCAAAGTACTGCTCGGAGGTGCTCTATATAGAGCCGAATATTAGCCTGAACATAGACCTGAGAATCCTTCACAAACTCTCCCGGCCTATCTGACTAGAACTGCTGCTTCTGGTTCATGTTGTTCATGTTGATAGTTTGACGGTACTTTCTTTAAAACTGATCACTGTAACATGTAGTATATATATAAAGGAGAGACGATGAAAAGCGTAAGGTGGTAGTCAGACTCACTCTTTCATCGTGTCCCAAATATGAGACGCTTGACTAATAGAGAAGAAGTCCCAAACGATCTCAGAAACAACCGGTCTTTTCAACTGAAATGGCTGGATGCTATGAGTTGAAGCCATGAAAGTCAAGCTACAGACCTTTTATAACCTCCAGTGGGTAGGTCCTCCATATGTCCTAATTCACTAGACGAAGCCATGTCTATTCTGATAGTAACAAGTTTTAGTGATACTCTGTATATATGCAATTGATTATCATTCATCTTTTTTGTTTTCTTTCTTTTGATGGCAGTAATATTGGAACAGCCAATCAATATGTGAATCTCATGAACCCATGGCATATTTCCTGGGTAGCAAAAGGGAGGTTTAAGAGCTGCTGGTTAGTCTATGTTGATGATTCCTCAGCTCTGGCCGGGTAATGCCGGTTATGATACTTTCCCTGCATGATATGTTTTGTTTGGTAGATGCCGACAATATTGACAAGCACGCACTTTAGGGGCTCTAGGCAATAGGCGTAACCGAAATAATCTCATAAGTCTGTAGAAGCATCGGGAAGTGCTAACATGAGATTTCACTGCTGACAGGCCCTTCATCTAATACTCCAGAGTTTCTTTGGTATGATACAGCTTCCGGCTGGTGACGTGAATGCGCAGGCGCCAAGAGTATGATTCAATACTGACAATTAGGAGCAGGTCATACCCCATAACCCTGACTGTCTTACTGTATTTCAGGAGCAAGCACTTCAACATTGCAGATCCCCAAAAATGGCACCAGGAGCGGAATCGTAAGTGAACAATCACTTATTTCCTACTGAATCTACATAGTTGTTTAACTATCCGAAACTAACATAAGACTGAGCTCCGAATCACAAAAGGGCAACCCTAGGATCGAGGACGACAGTCAAACGACGAACAAAGAGAAATCAGTGCATAATGTTTACAAGGAAGAGCCTGTACGTAAGAGCCATGATTGAGTGACAGAGCTGTAACCGCTAACTAGTTAACCTTAACGCCGATCTAGCAGTCTTCCTCTACACCTGGCTCTGGCTCAGGCTCCCGCCAACAAACTCCTAATTCCCCTGTGGCTTCCACATCAAAGAACTTCGATTACTTGCAGGGTAGGCCCTCTCTATTGGAGAGGTCATAGTACATACTGAATACTGATATAGCCGATCCTGGAGCTTTCAAGTGCGCCTTGTGTCGACAGTGGCATACAAGGAGATGCCCGTGGTTGATAAATTATTAGAGTAGCTATAACCATACTCTGTTCGCTTACGTGACGTTGGTCCTTTTATGAGAATGTTTAGCTTGATTTCAAGGCTAGTAATTGTAATGATTGCGGGGTTATTATTTGCCATGGTTAGTTTCCCCGTTGTCTCTACGAAAAAGGAATGTTTATGCAATGATACAAGTAGTCCAAGAGGCCCGCATTATGTGCACTACCAAGTCAGGACAACTCATCCTCCACCGGAAGCGCTCCCTCAGCCTGCATCTGAAGAGCAACCTGGTCAACATCTCTCCACACCCGCAGCAGGTTTCCGCCAGCAACCTTGCCTGCATCCTCGTCACTGACTCCACGTCTCAAAAGCTCAGCGATCAAGTCTGGATACTTAGACACATCCTCAAGACCGCGCGGAACAGTAGGGATACCGTCAAAATCGCTACCCAATCCAACATGATCGAATCCAATCAGGTTTCCGATGTACATGATGTGATCCACCACGTGCTCCAGAGTTGCATTCTCGGGATCAAGCTCTGGCAAGCCGTTCGGATCTTCCGAAGCAGTACATGAGATAAAGTCTGGGGAGAAGTTGACCATCACAACCGAGTTACGCGCTTTGACCAACTCCAGAACATCGTCCGGGACGTTGCGGGGATGGGGGCAGACTGCGTATGCGGAGCTGTGGCTGAACATTACAGGGGCGCGGCTGCCAGTCCAATCGTCTTTTCCGGCTCCCAATACGTCCCGCATAGTGTCCACACTAACATGAGACAAGTCGACTATCATACCAAGCCTGTTCATCTCAAAGACAAGATCCTTACCGGCCTCGCTTACCCCGTGCCAGACCGGGTCTGCCTTCTTGATACCGCCGGGTATCTCGACAAGCGCTGCATCAGCATAGCGATTGTGGCAATTATGAGTGAGAGTTGCATATGCCACACCGCGATCATAGAAGCTTCGCAAGTGAGCCAGGGAATTTCCGATCGAATGAAGGCCCTCCATTCCAAGCGGGGAGATGATCTTTCCCTCCTTGAAGGCTTGAAGGGCCGTCGTGCCATTGGGAGGCTCAGAAAAGACATTAGGGTAGGCCTGTTGCAGGCGCAACATGACATCTACCTGTTCGATAGTCTGGCGGACACCTGGTCATACGCCATCAGTAAGGAACGCACAAACGTCGAATTTTATCTTACTTGTTGCATAGGTCGCGTCGGAGAAATCGCTCCAGTTTTTCGGACACTCCACGAAGACACTCCAGAAGGTGCCACCTACTTTGCCCTCAGCGAGCCGTGGCAAATCGACATGCCCCAACAAATTGCCCTCGGTGAAGGGAATTCTGAAATCGTCGCCATAAATGTGATTTCCGAAAATCTCGCGGATGAAGATGGGTAGATCATCATGGCCGTCTGTGGTCGTCAGATGAGTAGGCAATTGTAGGCATTGAATTGCAAGCTACTCACCTATCAACGGGGTCTCCGACAAGATTTTGTCCACTCTCGACTGTGCGGGGTGCGGGTGAGTGCAACGGCGCGCATTGGTCAAAGTGACCAAAAAGCACGCAAGAACAAAGGTCAGAAGCACGCGTCCCATGTTGCGCGCCAGAGAAGAGGGAGGCTTTGGCTTTTCATCCGAGGAGGTTGCCAGATAGCCGCGCGACGACTCCAGATCGACTTTGGAATCCATTGTGCGAAGGAAGGAGGGGTTGTGTAACCCGCGCTTCCCGACGTAGCAAGTGTGATGTTGATATTGTAATAGCGGATGGGGATGGGGATGGATGGAGCTCGTTGTTGTTATCGCCGGGGAGATAACCGGACTACCGACGAGTCAACTTGCGTATAGCAGCTGCAGGATTCACGCTTAGCTCACCGAGTCTTGATAAGCGACCCGACCACATCATGTTCTGCTGGATGAAGAGTAACATAGCTGGAAAAATCTGTTGCTTGACAACTTATATTCACGGGTTTGCGAGCATCGCAGCTGTCCGTTTGTTGCCTCTATTTGTCGCCATAGGGATGTTCTGAATAGGCTCATTGGGACTTCTGACTATATCGGTCACGTGACATATGAGTATAATGGTAGATTTCTGCTCCAATTCTCATAAAGTGACCGAGGCATCTACTCAGAGCCATCCAAAGGTCCTCTTATATTTCATAGCGAGCGTAAACTTATAAGGTGCAATGATGACAACTTTGGGAAGTGCCGTTACCATCTACTTGGCACAAACGTTGGCTTGGAAGTTATAGGACGACGTGATAGATTAGCATTCCAAAATAAAGCTCATAGAGTGCTATCCCACAGCTACTTGAATTTTGTCTAATCTTCGCACATCTTGTGCAGCAAACACTTCAGCCAGCTCAGTCACAGTCAGCGTCGAACATTCCCTCTCGGACAATCTCCAGATCCAGAAGCAAGTCATCGGCAGAGTCATACTCTTTGTGCCAGCATTTGCGAGTGATCTCGCTACAAGCATGCGTATCCTCTGGAAACCGTTGCGTTGCAAGCGTATACTCGACTTTTTCAAAGCATCCGGCTTCCCCGTCAGCAATATCAGGAAAGACAGCATGTCCCACATGAATAAAATAGATAGTGTATCCCAGAGCAAAGAGATCTGTCTGCACATCTGCATCAATCGGGTCACGACGAGGGCAGTAGAACCTGCAAGGCTCACTACTCCACCCATCAAGAAGCACGGTGCCATTCTCCGACACATGCTTCCCTTGGAAGTCAGCCAGCTTTGTGCGTAGTCCGTCATCCAGAAGAATATTCCTGGGCTGTATATCACAATGGATGACTCCTCCACTATGAACCCATGCAAATGCCTCGGCTATTTCTCGGCACCACCAGGCTATCCTTTGCTCGAGAGATGGCGGTGGATGTGGGTATGCTGGTCTGAGATAATAGTCATCCAAGTCCCCGTTTGTCGCACGCTCCAGATAGAGCCAGCCGTTCTCTGTGCACCCTTTCACTATGATATGCTCGTGGTGTCCGACAATCTCGAGGAGTTTTCTCTCCATCTCTAGCCAACTCACGTCTGTGTTGTCAGGCGCGATAGGGTACTTCAAGACTGTAGTTTCATCAACTTCTCCTATCCATGCGCTTCCACCCGACGCAATCACAGGTTTGACTCCGGGAGGGCAGTACTCTCGGTACTCCTTTACTCCAGGCTTGTTCATATTTCTGAGGAAGGTACTTTAAGGTATGTCGGCGGGCTGTCAGGTAACAGAGCACGATGAACAAGAAGCAGTTGACTCAGATGATTCTATTGTACCTTGAGGAAAAGCAAAGAGTGGAGTGACTCCATGAACGATAACAACACGTGCGATCCCCATTCTTATACACATGGGCGCACGTGATGATCTATATTCGCATCGATTCATTAAGCTCTTTTTCGGTATTTCTGGGTATAGATAACCATTAGCAACCATTAGTCGGAGTCAGTAATAGCTACATGATAAATTCTACTACGATAACTACAATATGAAAACGTAGACAGAGAGCGTCTTGTATCTGCAAATACAATAGGTAAAAATTTTAGCTAACAAGAAACCCCACAGCAAAAGTAGATGGCAGCAAGGCTCCTGTAAAACAAATGGGCGTTGCTAGACAGTAGTGAATGGGTCTGATAAGTGTAGATGTCAAATGTACCTGACTTAGAACCATTGGTGATGTTAGAACATTCACCTGCCACGAAGATGGCTTTTCATGATGGTTCCAGACTATTTGACTTCCGCAGTCTCAGAGTTTTATTTCTCTTCTGTTTCCCTCCGAGCAAACCAGTTTGGAAAGAACCTGATTCCTCTGTTTGTATCAGGCGAGACCTTCTCGTCACAGTCTAGAATTAGTCAGTTTTTCTTCAGATCTTCTGCACGAACAATGACCATTCAAACACTGACCTGGAGGACCACAAAGTGGACAGGGAATCCCTCGATCTTCGACTTTCTCTTGTGACGATATCACCAAACCATCCTTGCCATCATGTTCATTGCAACCAGGTCCACCTGGATTGCTGCAGGAGACCTTGGATACTTCATGGCATTTATGTTTTGGGGAAGCAGTGCAGCTTTCGAATTCTTTGTAAACGTGGCGAGTTTCACAGCCACATCCCCAGAACTCTAGGCCGCCAACACAACCTTCACACACGTGGCCCATTGGAACGGATTGATTATCAATTGGTGAGAGCTGATGCTGTTGATAGTTTTGTGTTGTGGAGAAGATGTGTTCAATCAATTAGAATCCAGGCAGCTCACGATCCTTTTATATACATCTACTTGCCTTGTCTAGGAAGTTTTCTATTTTCTTATACTATCAGCTTTTCATTTGTGGACCGTCAACTTCCGCCGCTGTGAATTGAACTATTCATCGCTGGTCCGTACAGGAGGGAAAAAATTGGTCATTCATAATTGCGAGGAACTAGCGGAAGCTGCCGGTTTGTTGATAGTGATGGGATTGATTAACACTCTCACCAGGGACTGATATAGACACTGAAATTTTTTATGTCCAACTTTACCGAGGTCTCTACTGGTATCCTTTCATTCTGTATTTGGATACATAGTATCGCACATTATGTCAACTTATGAATTCAATGAAAACGAAACGCCCATTTTCACGTCCACCTTTGGTTGTGTCATTTCAATGGATCCGTGGCATGTACACGAGACTGTTTTTTTGAGCATACGCAGATGTAGTTCAAAGCTAGGTAATAATGGCAGATGGCGGCGCCGCCAGAATGTACACGATTATGGGGAAAATGTATCCAGCGAATCCAAGGCACATGACCGACAGCCAGGGAACCTCTCACTTCGTCATCCCAGATCGACCTTTCCTTCAACAAGCATCTCGCTGGTCAAGACCCATGATTCAACTTCCTTGGAAAAAGCTTATGCGGATTATCCGACCCCTATTCAGTCAGTCATCATGCGACACGATGAAGATAAACCAGTTTTCAACCTCAGGTTCAGCTTACAAGTCCTTTTCTAGTTTCAGGCTACACAGCGTGAACTATCTATAACCTGTCCCCGCCACCGACATCACGGTACCATTCCAGCCAACATCTAGGGGTGGACGCCTTATCACCGGGCTTGAGACAATCATTCGTCCAATTGGTCTTTCTGTTGATGCTTTTCCGGTTCAACGACTAGCGCAGATCGTCGCATTTTTCTCACTAGGCTGCAGTGATGACTTCATAGCCAACAAAGGCTGGGCAACGCTGCATAATAAGCACTCAATATGGGGCGTACCTTGGTATAGTCAGAAGCTCCTTCTGATTTCCCAACAAGATATAGTATCAGTGATCACTGCAGCAGTACGTTTGTACTTCCTCGATCAAAGTTGATCACCGTTTCATCCTCAGTCACCTGGTTTCTCCCGGACGATCAACTCCTATAAAGAGCAAGTCACGCAAGGGATACCGTTACTCCAGATAGAAGATTTGCAGCAGCATTCTTCGCATCCCATACCGCATCACCAACAAGGGCAAGATAGACCATGAGAAATCCGGTCACTTTGGTACATTGCGCAAGCAACCCGTTTTGTTGTCTCCCTTGCCATTGGCGATGGATAGATCATGTATTTCTCCGGGTCGAGATTTGATCGGAGTTGGGGAAAGCTTTTGCCCAGCGTGGCACACTTCCCTGTTGGGGATCGGCTGCATTCCAGTGCCCCGCTGGTAGTGTTCCTTTTGCCTTGGGAGCATTGATAGCTAGAATGCCATGCGTGCATCGTGTTCCCCCATATCTTTGGATGTGATATATAATTTTCCGGTCGGAACATGAAGAGTGCTCTTTTTTTCTTGTGTTCGATGAAAATACCCTATCTTATCACCAGGTCCGATGGAGTCGATTCAGTCAACCCAAGAAGCTAGAACCAAGTCATCCGAGGACTATAACTCTGCTGACAATGGTGACTATGAGAGCAATGAGTCGGTCACGAATCCCAAGTTAAGCATTGACACCGATGCCGCCCCAGATGGCGGATATGGATGGGTGATTGTTGCGTGTGTGTTCTGGCTACAAGTCCACACCTGGGGAATCAATGGGGTGAGTTCACTGCAGTAGAGCTACTAGCTCAGCAGCAACAGTATTTTCTAATAGTACCAGAGTTATGGCGTCTTCTTATCCTACTACATGGACAACAACATCTACCCTGGCACGAGTTCACTCGCCTACGCCTTCATCGGTGGCGTCGCCATCGGCTGCGCCTACCTCATGGCTCCCGTCACCGTGTTTCTCATCCGCCGATACGGCACCCACACCACAATAATCTCAGGTATCATCATCCAAACAGCCGGACTGATCCTCGCCTCCTTCACCGCCCGCGTATGGCAGCTCTTTCTTACTGAAGGGGTCTGCTTCGGCGTCGGCATGGGTATCATCTACATGACCTATCTTGGCGTTCCGCCACAATGGTTCGACAAGAAAAGCAGCGTTGCAAATGCCATCCCCGCAGCTGGCGCCGGAACCGGTGGCCTCATTTACTCCCTTGGCATTGAAGCGATGATCGAGAACCTCGGTCTCCCCTGGACATTTCGAACACTAGCCATCGTCTCTCTGGTCGTGAATCTCGTGTGCGCAGCCTTCCTCCGCGACCGCAACAAAGCCACCGCCAGCCGTCATGTCGCATTCAACTTCCCTTTGCTAAAGAAAATTGAGGTCCTGCTTCTGATTGGCTGGGCTATTTTCAGTACTTTTGGCTTTGTAGCGATCAATTTCAGTCTACCCAACTTCGCAATCTCTATCGGATTGACCGCGCGCCAGAGCAGTGTGGTCGGCGCGCTGCACAATCTGGGACAGGGGATTGGACGGCCCCTCATTGGCTTATTCAGTGACAGACTGGGTCGATTGAACGTAGCGACGGCCCTGTCCCTGGTATGTGCGGTGTTCTGCTTCGCTATCTGGATTCCTGCTCGGAGTATGGCAGTGTGCTGTCTGTTCGCGGTAATGGGAGGCATGGTGTCGGGAACATTCTTTGCCACAGTGGCTCCCGTGTTTGTGGAGGTGATCGGGTTGCAGGATTTACCTGGGGCCCTAAGTATACTTTGGCTGGTGCTAGTAGGACCTGGTGCGGTGGGAGAGGCAATTGCGCAAGCACTGCGACGGCCGGCAGAGGGAATGGAGGCGTACCGTCAGGTGCAGATCTTCGCGGGGATGGTGTTCGTAGCGGCGGCGTTGTGTCTATGGGTGGTGCGCGGGTGGAAGGTGCAGCAGCAGCGGCGGGGGACTGCCACTCATACAGCGGGGATGTGCAAAGAGATGGTAGAGGTGGAGGTAAGGGCAGAAAAGTCAGGGTGGAATGTGTTGGAGTTGGCCAGAGAAATGGTGCGGTACTCTCGTGTATAGAGTACTACTAGGTGTTGAATGGTAGACGTGCAAGCAGCGTCCCCACACTAGCTACCGGGTTCATACTAGTAGCAGCAAAATTGTATATTAGTTTTGTTTAATGTTATTGAAACAATCAATGGTATAAAATAACGAAGCTATAAAAGAATCAATTCATGCCTAACCACTACATTCTCAAGGGACAGCTGTTGCTTCCGTCATAATCTCACCACCAGTTCCCGAACTTGATATCAATACATTAGCAGCTAGTCTTACCGGCTGGGGATGATTAAAGATGTCGCGGAAAGTAACTTCATAGCCGTCATCTTTCGCAAGTCGCGTGATCCGCATGGCTTTAATTGAGTCACCTCCGAGGTGAAAGAAGTTGCTCTTCGGTAGAACAAAATCAAGACCAACGCCCAAACTCTTTGCATACCATTTGCAAACCAGATCTATCTGTCTCTTAGACGCTCCCGCCACAAGTGCGCAGCCCTCATCAATTTCCCCGTCATTCAACGGAACCGCATACGCCAGACGAGCCCGCTGCGACAGCCCAGCTGCAGCTTGTCGAAGCCGTGTGCGATCGATCTTGCCAGTACGCGTTTTCGGCATGCACAGGAGTGGAAACATAAAAGTCGGTATGAAGAGCCAAGAAAGCGATTGCTTAAGCTGCTGGACCATCTTGCGCATGAGAGCCTGGAAATCCGCTGTGGGAAGCCCAAAGAGCGCATCACCGTCACCAGACGATTTGGTGAGCAGGTCATCGTAGACAAAGCCCACAAGTTGCTTCGTTGAGTCAGGCAATACAATCACATCAGCTACGACCATTCCTCCCGGTAGGTTCACAGCCTGCTTCAGCCGGGCTTCCAGATCGTCCAGTTCCACCCGCTGGCCGCGGAGTTTGACTTGTCGGTCCTTGCGGCCTAGCAGATAGAGTGAGCCATCCGGGAGGTACCGGGCTAGGTCACCGGTTTTATAGCATCGCGAGGTTGTTGGAGCCCAGGCGGGAGCGTCGATGAAGACTGTGGCGGTTTTCTCTGGTTTCTGGAGATAGCCTTGAGATAGACGCCCGCCTTGTACGACTAGTTCGCCGACGGCACCGATGGGTAACAGCCGGTGGTGGTCCGCCGGATCGACGATCCAGGTACGTGGGCCAAATGATCGACCGATGTTCCGAGGGTCAGATAGGGGTTTGAGGTCCGCGTGCAGCGTGTCGAACATGATACCTTCGGTGGTGCCGTAGCTGACGTTGAGGTGGTCGAGTCGGGGTGCCCACAGGGCCACTTGCTCTGCGGTTAGAACGTCCCCGCCTACCGTGAGGGATTTCAGAGTGGGCATCTCATCAGGGTGTACCTGGGCTAGCACAGCGGCGGTGAGAAACGCCGTGTTGATGCGTAGCGCTGTGCCCGTCTCAGCGAGTCGATGCAGCCGGTCGTCGTTCCCCGGCATGCAGACACACCCGCCGCGGGATAAGGTGCACAAGGTCTCCACGCAGCTGAGGTCGAAGCTGAATGCGGCGAATTGGAGGAATCGAGTGCCGGAGTGTAGCTTCAACGCTTGAGCCATCTGTTGCACGCACGTCACTACGTCTTGGTGTGGCTGTATCACGCCCTTGGGGGCTCCGGTGCTGCCTGACGTGTACATGAGAAATGCCGGTTGCGATGGGGGAATATGTGCGGATGACGCTGGTAGTCCCTTCACCGGCAACTGCTGGATCAGTTTCCCCGAGATTTCCAGCATCTGGGGCACTGAGCCTTCCCAGTGTGGTGCGAGTTTGGAGGACGAGGAGGTGGTGAGGATGACGGATGTACTGGCCTCACAGAGCATGGTTGAGACCTGGACTGGAGGTAATGCCCCATCCAGGGGCATGCAGGCCGCCCCCGTCCGCAGCACGGCCAGCATGATGACCACGGACCAGATGGTCTTGTCGAGGATCAGTCCGACGTAGGTGCGGGGACGCACGCCCGCGGCGAGGAGATAGGCCGACAAGGCCGTGGAGAAATGCTTAAGCTCGCGGTAGGTGAACTGCTCGCTGATACCGCAGCAGGCAATGGCGTCGGAATACTGGCTACTGGCGCGGTCAATCAGGTCCGGGAGGCATTGCTGGCTCACTTCCAGCGACTGGGTGTTCCAGGATAGAATTTGCTCGCGACTGGCTCGGGAGAGGAGATACAGGTCCTTGACCTTGCCCTTCCAGCTGTGACAGACAGAAGACAGGATCTCCTGGATAGCATCGACGATATGACCGGCCATTGTTTCCGAGATGTATGCGGTGCGAAAGCGTAGGAAGATACGCAGTCCTGCGGGGTCCCGGCTCGCACCAAGGATAAGATCACACTAGAGTGGGAGGTAGTTATGAGCAGGGTTGTTACTCTTTTGGGTATGGAGCTTGGCCTTACTCACTCTCTCGGCGTTTGTTGGTGAAGAACTATGCTTGGGTCCCAGATCACTCCTCCCACTCCTTCCGTCGAGCAGTAGTACTCCAGTATTATAGACCCGGTGGCCATGATGATCATTCTCCAAAAGATGCCCTGATTCAACTAGTGTATTCAGGTCATCTTCACGGTCAATTGTGGTAGTGTAGACGAAAGGGCAATGCTGCAAGAGATATGTCGAGTCCTGAGAATCGGTACATTCTTCGTAGGCCATCACCACGCTGTCATCGTAGACAAATACAGAGAGAATAATGGCCCAGATAACGCGAAGCCTTGGTCCCAGATCAGAGCCCCATTGAGAGAGACTGTTGTCTTCTTGGAGGATATCAATGGTATGCACCGCATCCTCGTCCCGATTTCGATGGGAAGAGGTATGGGGAGAGAGGCTTGGAAACCGACATGGCGCTGTCACAACCTTGCCCACCATTTCAATCAATTGGTCAAGACGCCAGTTTTGCTGGCATATAATATTAAAGAAATAATACGAAAAGTAGTAGAGCAGCAAATGGAAAGAGGAACAGAGGAAATCCCTTGTGTTGTGGCGCCATCCACGGAGGGAATCAAGCATTGTCTGCTGTTATTCCCCCCTGCCTGATCTCCTTGCATGCAGTTAGGGGGAAGGCGGAACGCGTAGGTGCATGCTGAGCGTATTACAGCGTTACTTGATGGTATGTATATGCTGTTGGCTATGCCATGTATTTTGAAACAATATGACAACTACAGATCGAGAGAAAGAGAGGGCCGGGGGGTGGTTGTGTAACTGATTCAATTGTGTAGAGTTAGATCGTTTGCAGTAAGTGGAGCAAATCATTTCTCAAGTGCACTAAGAGCAGTTTCTGAAAGATGTTTTTTTTTTCATAGTAGTGTTTATGGAAGTAGATTTCAGACACGATCTTCCATCATGCACTCAATTAATAGCGATGTCACCGGTCAGGATAACATCACGTGAAACAGCCAGTCCAGAAGTATAATCTGAATCCGGTCTTACTGAATCAGCATAGAAGAGATGAGTTCCCGGAAGCGAGACATGAGTGGTAGAGTGAAAGCAAAATATTAGTAATATATAGAGTATCTTTGAGTGATACATTCTGAAGATTCACAAACCTTATATATTCCAAAGTAATCAACTAGAGTACTCTAAGATGATGTTAGCAAAAATAGAAGACTTTATGATACACATTAGTATCAAGATAACTGATACCAGGGACATTCTATACAATTACATTGATATACATTTACAGAAAACTTAAGTGTGGATCATTAGTACAAATTTAGCTGACAGTAAGAAGCTCAGATACAAGCTGCTAAAGAAGTTTCAGCACAGTCAGGGAGACAACAGTAGCAGACATACAATACCCACAGCACTAACACATCATCAAAGATCACTTGGAACTACTAGATTATCCACAAACAACTTCTTCGTTGGTAGTTCGTACTTGTGATGCTGTGCTCTCCACTTAGCGTGTGTACTTGTAGTCCATGTTTGCCCCCACCCTCTTCTGCCCCACAAAAACTTGAACAACAACTTCTTCACTCCTTCACATTCCACGCCTCATCGCAAAGTACTCAATAGCCACACCAACAAACAACCATGAACAACAGCAATACTGAAATAGAAATATCCCCTCACCTCCTATCCAAATACCCCTTCCTTCTTTCCCCCCTCTCCTCCCTCCCCGCCACCCACTACCCCACCTACACGGACTTTGGCGTGGGCGCCTACATCTTCACCACCAAATCCCAACTCCAGCAAAATAATTCTAATCCAACCTCAAAGCCACTCCTTCTCCTCCTTCACCGCTCCCCAACAGACAGCTACCCCCTGCACTGGGAATCCACGGGAGGAGGAGCAGACCCCTCTCTCGACGACACCCTCCTCTCGGCACTATGTCGCGAGACAGTCGAGGAGACCGGGCTACGGGTAACTAAGATTGTGGATTTGGTTGCTGTTGATGAGTGGAGGAAGGCACTTCCGGGGGGTCAGGGAGAGAAGAAGGTGATCAAGTGGGGATTTTTGGTGGAGGTTGAGGAGACTAATTCAGTGAAGTTGAATCCGGAGGAGCATTGTGCGTTCCGCTGGGCGGATGAGGATGAAGTTAGGGCTGCTGTCACTGGAAGTGCCACTGATGGGGAAGGGGGAATGAAGTTTATCGGTGATCAGGGGAGGAATTTATTGAGGGCTTTTGAGGTGTATCGAGATTGGTATACTCCATCAGAAGATACATGTTGAATGTTTAGCTATACTACCACTATCTCCCTACATAGACTAGTTATCAATCCCTCCGGGAGGGGGACTAAACCCCCCTTCTCTTCATCGCCAACTTAAACCCCCTCACAAACTCCGGCACATGCACCGGATTCAACATGGTAGCATGAATCCCGGGACAATTGTAAAACCCGACTTCAGTGCGTGCAAACTCCCTCCACGCCCCTAGCTTATTCTCCTCCCAATCTTGTCTATTCAATGCCGCGTAACTCGGCGGATCCGCCACAAATACATCTAATGTCTCCACTGTTCCCTGCGGCTCATACGTCTCGCCATGGACCCGGAAGTTCTCTCCGATGTCCGTGATCCGTTCGAATCTCTCGGGATTGAGAGCTAGTGCACGCACTCTCTCCTTATCAGAGATATTTAGAACGTGAACGAGGGCATCGTAGCGAGATACCCCCTCCCCTCCTTTGTCTTTTTCCAGACTATGGAGGTAGACTCCAGCCTCACCCATCACTTCTAAATCAATAAGCTCCAGGAAGAAGGCTATATGAAGCAACACATCAATCCAGTTCTGTCCGCGCACGTACTGCCGGATATGCGGCGGGTAGTCGATACTTGCTAAGAAACGGACTTCTTGGCCCTGGGATTCGAGCACTTTGCCCACTTCGAAGGCGAGAGTCGAGCCAAGCGAGTAGCCTGCTATGGCGTAGGGGCCTTCAGGCTGGGTCTGCCGGATGTAGTGGGCGTAGGTGTCGGCGGTTTCTTGGATGGAGTGGAAGAAGCGTTCGTTGGTGTTGTAGCCGCGGGTGCGGAGGGCGTAGACGGGTCGGGTGGGGAATTGGGCTGCTAAAGCGATGAAGACGAGAATGTCTCCGCTGCCGGGGTGGATGAGGAAGAGGGGGATTTTGGTGCCGTGGGGTTGCAGCGGCACGATGGGGTTGTAGGTTGGCGGTTGGGAGAGGAGTTTGTCGATGGAGGCGGAGATGGCGGATGTTGTGGGACTGCGTGTTGCTGGTTAGTGTGGATGATTAGGAGTATAGGGAGGGGGCTTACTTGGTCATCAGAACAGACATGGGAATCTCTAGGGGTGCGTCGACGGCTTCTTGAATCATCGCTTTGAGGAGAATCAGGTTGAACGAGGTGATTCCGAGATCGAAGATTGACATGTCCACGTTGATGTCTTCGATGGGGATCTTGAGTAGTCCTGCTATAGTGTTTTGCACTCGTTTCTCGGTCTCGGTTTGGGCGGATCGCTGCGTGGACTCGCGATATTTCTGGACAATCTTGAGGTCTTCCTCCTCGAAAGGTGCATACTCTCCCTTTTCGAAGCCGGTCCGCACCTTGGTCCGCGAAATCTTCCCCAGTGAGGACTTGTCCAGCATCTCCGCCGGCAGCGGAATCAAATGGGCAGGTTTTCGCCCCGTTAGGAGTGCGACGGTCTTTGCGATGGCCGTGGCAGTCTCGAAACGCGCCGCGGCGTCGTCAGCAGCATAGGCAGGGGAGTAGACAACAGCAATATCCTCGCTAGCAGAGCCCGGAGCACGGCAAGGAAAGGCCACGGTATACGAGGGCACGACCCCAGGGATGTTCTCTTCTTCGATAGTCACTTCAATCTCCGTGGCACTCCATTTGACTCCGTTAACGATAATAGTGTCTCTAGTCCGTCCCGCCAGGTTCAGATACCCCGAGTCATCTAGCCAGGCGAGATCGCCCGTGATGAACCACCCGTCCTCCGTGAACGCGGCAGCTGTGGCCTCCGGGTTGTTAAAGTATCCGGTGAACACAGCAGGACCGGACAGCTGAAGCTCGCCAACTTCACCAGGCGCAGCGGGTTCATCTTTAGCCCTGGGGCCCATCACGCGCATCTTGATGCCGGGAGTACATGGTCCGAGACAAGCGAACTCGAGGCCCTTGGATAGATCGTAGGACGGTGATGCCCGCGCGTGAACGCATCCGGCACATGTCTCTGTCATACCAAAGCCAGGACTTATCACCTCGCGCTGGATGGCAAAGCGACGCAGTTCTCGAGTCAATCCATCAATAGTGGCGACGACGTTGGCCTCGCCGCCAGAGTTTATGCTTTTGAGATGAGACAAATCCGCTTGGAGGGATGGGTTGGCGGCAAGAGCATCCCGCACCTGCGTCAAGAAGAAGTTTGGCGCAAATGTGTAGGCAACACTGTGGGAGTCGAGCAGCTGGATAAAGCGTATTGGATCGCGCAGCAGCTCTGAGGCTGGAATGAGCACTTGGTCGGCGCCCAGACTCACTGTGGATTTGTTAGTGGGTGTAATCTCATAGAAGGAGAATGATCACGGACTTGCATGCAGATGAATCTCACAAAGACTAGCAACATGGTCCAATCCAACCCAGGTGAGAAATACATCACCGGGCTCAGTTCCATGGTGTTCTTTCTTGCCTTGCAATGCCGTGAGAAGCTGGCCATGGCGGAGTGGAACTGCCTTGGCGCTCCCAGTACTTCCAGACGTCAGCATGAGAACCGCTGGGTCTTGTGCTTGCTTCTCAGCTCCGCAGAGTGGCAGACGGTCAGCTAGACCATCCGAATTAGCAGCCTTGTCTAGTACCTCGACCGGAAGCACACGAAGCTCATCCGTGTCCAGGAAATCCGGGACAAGCCGCTCTGTGGTGAGGACGACGGGTTCCTGCAGAAGAGTCTTAAGATGACGCAGATGCTTCATGCGCTGCGCGGGATCATGCACGAATGGGGTTGAAATGGCAGGAAGCAAGCCTGTCAATGTGGCAGCCCAGAACCATAGAATCGTGTCATGATGGTTCTCAAAGTGCAGGAGAATGATGGAAGACGCGGAGATGCCATCGGTTCGACTCAAGAGCCGAGCTTTCTCCGTGGCTCTGCTCTGAAGCTCGGCGTACGAAACACAGGAGACTTCTGCTCCCGGGGTGTAGAAGGTGAGCCCGGCTGTAGAAGCGGCTGCTTTGGCTAGGAGCTGAGCTAGGTTCTGTACTGTGCTTGGAGACTCGAGAGTGGTCACTGGGACATCCTTCGCAGCAATTGACTTGGATGTTGGCTCAATTGCCTGGCCATTGCCCTCGATAACGTGAGGAGCCATCTTGCTTTGCAGTGGGTTGAAATTGAATGATATGAGATTTAGAAGCTGTCTATGCTGTACAAATTTCGATGTGTCGCCATGCTGCTTTAAATAACTATCCGACAACAAGCATTCGTGCCATTCATGTAAGCTTGATTGACCCAGCCCCGCTTGGTGACTGGTTACCCTTGCGTGTATTTCCTTCTGTGTCGCATTCAACACGATAAGAATGCCGAATATGAGGCTCAAGCATTCTCAACTGGAAAAGCACGCGCGGTCTGCGTACACCGGCTACAGCTTGCTTCCGGTCAATGACTCCGGCCTCTCCTGCGGGATCATAAATCCCTCAAAGAACTGGCCGATTCGTCTATACTCATCCAGACTGAACACAGCAGATACGTCTAAAGTTTGTCAGTAGATCATCTAAGGCCAGTGACGACGGAGGCTTACATTGATCCGGACGCACGATGACAATAGCACCCTTGTCAGGGCTGATACCGAGGTGCTCGTAAAGATGTCCATGACCCCTGTTGTAGCTCTCATCATCAAAGAATATCTTGTGAAGGTCTACATCCTTGTTAGATGACTCTTTTTTCCGAAGCCAGTAAACTCACCTCTGATATGGTTTTTTCCTGTGAATGGATAGAAGCTCTGCGGGATCTGCTCCAGCTCGAAGCCATGTCGCTCACCATGTGCAACAAGAATTGGCTCGATAAGGCTGTCGGGCTCGCCACTTCTCAAACGGAATCTCTGCAGAGGACTGTCATCGGAGCCGAGATATTCTCCAATCTGTACTCGGTCAGTATTTTCTTCATCCTCACTAGGATAATCCCTAACGTACAGCTTGCAATGCGGCCATATTCTGTGACACGGTGAGATCCCCTGAAAATGCAATCACCCTCCAGCGACAGTCGGACTTGAGCGATGCAGCCAGCTGCAGCGGTTTGGAGTCACAGAATCGCACAACCTGCGCACAAGGCAACCTCATTCCCACCACGACGTTTTTGGCAAGTTCATTCGACACGCCCGTATCGGAAGTAATAGGAGATTCATCGTACTTGGCTGTCAAACCTGCGGTATACTTTCCAGACTTGATAAAGCCCTCTTGGAACTCCTTGGGGGTTGCACTGCCCTGAGAGGAGAACAACTTGGCGAAATACCGATCAAAGTTAATCAGATCAATAGCCACCTTCTCCCGTTCAAGCACATAAGTCTCCAGCAATGAGGGATGCGCCAAGCCCTTTAGCACCGAAGCAAGCTTCCAGCCCATATTGTACCCATCTTGCAAGCTGACGTTCATGCCTTGGCCCGCCTTTGGCGAGTGCGTATGGCAGGCATCCCCCGCAAGAAAGACGCGGTAATCCTTGTGGAAGAAGTCGGCATGACGCTGCCCGATGGCGTAAGCAGACCACCAGACCGTCTCAACAAAGTCAATCTGGTACGGACTGAAAATCTGCTTTGCGGCATTTTGCAGATCTTCCAATCTGACATCCTTCGCCTTAGTGCCAGTCGGAAGCTCAATGTAGAATCGGGTCAAATTGTAGCTGTCCCCTTCTCGGGGTATAACCAATATATTGCCTGCCTTGGACCGGATACTGGATTTCTTCCGAATATCGGGGAAGTCCGTTCGTGGAACCATGTCCATGACACCCCAGACAGCGTCGGTGCTATCACCAATCATATTGTATCCAAGCGCTTTGCGCACCGTACTATGTGCGCCATCACATGCCTGAGAGCGTCAGCAAACACATACCAGAATGACCCCCTAAATTGTAAGAAATAACATACCAAAGCATACTTCGCCTCAAAGCTCTCAACCTTCCCGTCCTTCTCAGCCGTGACTTTAACCGGATATGCTTCCGGCCCCGCCGAAAGCTGACTCTCATCAACCCGGACATCCTGGACAGTATACCCGTAATCGATCTCCTGGCCGTTATATTTCTTCATCAGCTCAATGAGAAGCCCGTTGATGCGCGCCTGGTTCAGAATGACATGTGGCTGATGAGACAATCCGGGCTGCGTATCTGCCGTCTTGCCCGTGCGACGTATAACTCCCGAGCCACTATCATCGGCCCAAAACACGACCTCCACCACATGGTACGACTCGCGCAATAGCTCCTCGCCAATGCCGAAGCTCTCAAAGATTTCCACCGTGCGGCATTGTACACCGTCTGCTTGGCCCATTGTCATGGGCCCATCCCGGCGCTCTAGCACTTTACACTTAATGCCATAGCGAGCCAGCCAGGTGGCTGCGCAGAGCCCCGCGGAGCCGCTGCCACAGATCAGGACGTCGACTTTTTGTGTCATGTTGTCTCTTCTTTGTTCTTTGTTTCTTCTTCAAATCTAGAAAGGAAAAAGAAAAAGAAATGGGCACTTGAAGAAGATAAAGGCTCGCATAAATATGATGTACTGAAATGGCCTGACTGGTCATACTTCAACTGCCTCCGGGATTGATTCCGAGCTACCCCGGAATCGATCCCGGGGTCGGCACCTGCGCGGCATTTGCGTCCGTGCCTCGGTCATAGTTTGCACCAATGATCTTCGGTGTATTCAGTGACCATCTTCTCCGCAATCCGGGGTCCGGAGATAGTGGTGGCAGTACATTATACCGGCGTTCAAGCTGGTGTCTCAGAGGATGTGAATTCTACGCTCATGCCTTGAGTGACGGCGGAGTATATGGTGCTAGTCCTAATTAGGAAAGGCACGCGAACGGTTGAGATGCCGAGACTTGCAGCTTTGAGATGGTCGCACGGTTTGATTGTGGAGGGCTCTAGTTCGGGTGTTAGACTTAGGTCATTAAATCAAATCTGGATTAGCAATATATCTCTGGTCATATGTGGACGAAGTGATACAATATGTTCTATCGGGCTCTGGTCCGAGTTTTGATTGTCCCAAGGCTTCCAGAGTAGCTCTGGAAGCAAGGAACAGCAGTTTGTTATTGATTGCCAGAGACCCAGTGGTGAAATTTTGGAATGACCTCCGATGTACTCGTGTAGAGAATGCTGTCCTCGGCTACAGTAAAAAGCTACTGTAACACCTCACATGGTGCTATCTACAACCTTTAGCCACCAAAGCGTGCAATGTTCATAACAATCATTTGATTCGTCATAGTTCGACTAAACAAACCCTCTGGACCAAGCTGTACCAGGATGCATAAAGGTAACCCTCATTAACTGTGTCCCAAATCGTAATATATGATGCTCGTAACCCGTCTTCACCCACAGTGCGTAGGCGCCATCTGTATCCACTCCCAACGCCAGCGCCGGTGCAGTAAACGCCTCATGTCTTGCGAAATGCAAGCAGACGAGAGAATAAAAAGCGTATCCATGCGATATCTTACAGGAAATACTCACTGCGGCCCGGCCGCGACGTCGGCACATGTCGTTGATCGTCACTAACCGCGCTGAAGAGCTTGAACGTCGGTTTTAGATCGTCGTCGATCTCGCATACGGAGGCGAGGTTGCCGCATCGGTAGCAGTAGTTGGGAGCACTCCACACCGTGACCACGTTTTGGTTGGCGAAGTGATACTTGTAACCCTCGTTGACCAATTGGTGGGCTCGGGCGATTAAGGTCAGGTCATTGACATGACAGAACTCATCTGCAACCTTGTCTCCGAACAACCAACCTAGAGGGTGATCAGTAAAGGGAACTCGCTCGTCTTGTAAACGAATGACTTACCAGCTCCTCTGGGACTCACTGCCCATGTCTCCACATCATCGGGGTCCGACCAAACCAGGTCACAGAAAGCACCTTCGTGCGGAATCTCCTGGGCTCTCGCAACCACCCGCACTTGATCCAGTGTTCTAATCTCCGGGCTCAGTCCACCATGCACACAAAGCACCCTACCGTCAATGATGGCGCCCAGTGTCATGAAGTCAAAAACCTGGCAGCAAGCCTTCCATACGGAGGCATTTCCGTACTTCTGAAAGCACTCCTCGTAGAAACCGTAGACTTGAGTGATCTGGCGAGACTCGTGGTTACCACGTACCAGCGTAACCCGATCAGGATACCTAATATACTGTTAGAACAGTTCACCTTTACCAATGAGTATAACTCACTTCGCCTTGAGGCACAGCAGCAACGTGAGGGTCTCCAAGCTGAAGTACCCTCTGTCCACGTAGTCACCGAGGAATACAAAGTTTCGATTCAATGTAACCTCATTCGAGCCTGCGCTGGAAGACCGAGCGCGCTGGCTGCTAGTCGAGCCCGCATCGTCTGCAAAATCATCCGAGTGTCCAGAGTTTCTCAATTTCTTGCGTAGCTTAGGATCGGTAATGGTGGAAGGGGGTTCGATGTCCTCCGAGGTAATTACGGAAGGCGACGTTTTAGGCGGCTCGACGTCCGATTCATCGGGCATGCCTCCAGAGACCCGGAATAGCTCTAACAAGTCGTAAAACTGGCCGTGAATATCTCCACAGATGGTCACGGGTGTTGAGACTGGCTGAATGTTCGATTCTGGATAATGCGACCCGTCAGTCTCCGGTGAGTCGGTCGCCACATGCTCGAACTAAAGCCCACCTTCCATCATAAACTCCTTGACGATCTCACAAAGCTGTTTCATATGGGTCTCCGAGAGGTATTTGCAATCCTTTGCGGCCTCCAGCCACTCGTCGGGGCCAGCATTGCGCTTCAACTTGGCCGGTCCCGGCTGAGGGACCTTACTATCCACCATGATGAACTCGGTATGATATGGGTGAACACAGTGAGAACGGTGCAAGAAAGGGGAGAATAAGAGTAGAGTAATGAATGAACTAGTCTTTCAAAGGATAGTCGCTCGCATACGCCAGAGCACACGGGTTGCTTAGCGGGATGCGCGCCGACGGTCTTTCCCCGCAGGGGAGGTTGGCTTTGGGTCACTGAAGATGCACTGCCAATTCCCGCCATCGGTCACGTGGTGCGGGCGGATTCTCCTACACGATAACAGCTTCACCAGTCGTTCAAGCACAGTGCACAAGTAATTGCGGCTGCGGAGTGACTATCTTTCTGCGTCTTATAGTATATCTGTCGTTTTAGCGCAACACCCTCAACCCATTCGCTCAACGATACACCCATCCTCCAGTCGGGGCGGAAGTCCCAACACTTCAGCATTTCCATCATGACGCAGATCCCTGCGGGCAAGTCTACAGGAGGCGTTCTCCAGATCCCCGCCGCTGCGACTCAGAAGAATGCCTCTGCGCCGCCAAAGAAGGCTCCAAAGCCAGCCGCGCCTCGATTGAAGCTCCTCGTCAGACGTCTGCCACCCGGACTAACACAAGCGGAATTCGAGACAGCGTTGGGCTCGGAATGGAAGGTTGGCGGTGGGAAGGTCGACTGGTTCCAATACAAGCCAGGAAAGGTCTCTAAAGAGTAAGCTAGCATTGTAACCTGTGAAGACTTTCGCTAACAGTATGCTGTATAGTCCAGCCAAACCTTCTCGGCCTTCGCGTGCGTATATCCATGTCATGTCCAGCGATCACACCATCCCGCTCTCGAACAAAGTCCGCCAAACGTCTTTCTTGGACGCCCGTAATACCTCAACCGATCCTGTCCTTTTGGGACCTCCATCTTTGGAATTCGCACCTTATGCCAAGATTGCCGGAAACCGTTCGCGCAAAGACGCCCGTCAAGGAACTATCGACCAAGACCCCGAGTTCATCGCTTTTCTCGAGAGCCTCACGCAACCACTTGCCAAACCGGCTCCTGTCGAGTCTGGCGCTGATGGGGAGGATAAGAAGGAGACGGTGACTGTTACGCCTTTGGTGCAGTACATCAGAGAGAAGAAGGCCAACAAGGCGAAGGAATCCAGCAAATCTAAACACAAGTCGGACAAGGACTCCAAGGGGGAGAAGATCCAGGCGAAGAAGTTGCTACAACGTCCTGACAGGGATACAAAGGACTCTGCTGCTACGGAGAAACCCGAGAAGAAATCCAAGTCCGACAAAGCTACCAAGGAAGCTGTGAAGGCCGCAAACAAGCAGGCTGCTAATGTTGCTGCCAAGCAAGCCGCGAAATCATCTCCAGCGCAAAACTCACCCAAGGATACGCCACAGACATCTACAGAGCGGAAACGCGAACGTGGAAGTGTCGCGGCTGCTGCCAAGATCCTCCAGCGCGACCTGGGGCTTGCTCCGTCCGGTCGCCGCAGGGGTGGCAAAGCAGCGGCCGTTGATGGAGATACGCCCAAGTCTGATCAGAGCGGAACTGCAACCCCAGATACGAGCAAGAAGGAGACGCCGTCCAGACCTTCCAAGGGGGCGAACTCGGCTCGGGACAAGTCCAAGGGCAGCAACACACAACCACCCAGTGAGCCATCCGAAGCAAGCACTCCAGTCAGTACTACACCTAAGCCGGGAAAGTCTGGGAAGGGGAAGCAAGCATCGGCAGGACCGGCAGCGACCGCTACCCAAGCATTCCTCAAGCACGCCAACCCATCTCAGGGCGTTACCGAGCCACTTCTGGAAGCCGCATTCGCGCCATTCGGAAAGGTTCTCAAAGTGGAGATTGATAAGAAGAAAGGATTCGGCTACATTGATTTCGCAGAACCCGACGGACTTCAAAAGGCCATTGCTGCTAGTCCTGTCTCGGTCGCGCAGAGTCAAGTTGTCGTGCTAGAGAGAAAGGCCAACCCCGGTGGAGAGAAGGGCCGCGGCAAAGGCCGCAGTGAAGCCCAAGCATCCTCGGGAGGCGGCGGCGGCGGTGGTGGTGGTGGCGGTGGTGGTAACAATAGCCGGGGGAATAAGTCCAATGAAAGCGGCTCGGGGGGCAACTCATCTCGTGGACCACGCGGTGGACGAGGGTCCAAGGGCAAGGGAGCCCCCAAGGGAGGAGGAGGCGGAGGAGGAGGAAACAGTGGTGGAAATGCCGGGGCTGCGAATGGGAATCACCCTGAGAGCAAGGGGGGTTCAGATAGTAAATGAGCCGTTATGATGATACATGTATTGATGATAATACCAGCAGTTGCCTCCATGATTAACCACTTATCCGAATTGATTTCAGCTTTGATAGTATAACTATTGATATCCCATAGAATAATAATCATTACCAAGACAAATCACGAATGGTGAACCAGCATACACAGAGAACAGATCCGGTATGTCGACTACGTACCTCAGATCAGCCCTCCGGGATAAAAGAGGATACGATGATTTAATGACAATGCATAACTGAATACTCCACACACACTATACTACTGTTCTTTTTATACTTTGTTCAAGGTACACCTGCAGGGGCATCGGTGGGGCCGAGAAAACGGCGCCCCACTCTTGATGTTTGCTTTACATACTAAGTATGAACTATCTAGGATCAATTGCAGTCCTTCATCACAGAATACCAATCAATCAATTAAACATTACTACATAGTAGTATCAGAGCAACACCCCAATCCCCAAATGCCAGCCATCTAGATAGTAAATAAATCAGTCCCCATTAAGGCACAACCCCCACCGTCCCCCTCTGAAACAATCTAAAATTCTCCATATTCTCTTCCTCCAACTCCCTCGCCTCATCCAAAATCCTTCCAACCCTCACCCTCTCATTCGCCCCCTCGCCAGCCTCCTCATACCCCTCCAACACATCCGGTCTAAACCCACACTCCACCTCCACGACCGTCCCACCCTTCCCCAACTCCTTCCTCAAATACTCCGGCCACTCTATCCCAAAAAAACCATAAATCTTCAACCTCTCCAACTGCCTCAGCCTGGCCAACGCATGCACAAAGAGAATATTATCCCCGAGCCCTCTTGTCTCATCGCCGGGCTCCATGTGCGGAAGCCACCGAATGTGCGTGTCCCATCCAATTTCTAACTGTCTTAACCCCGTAGCGTGCTCAGATAAGTCATTGAGGAGGACGACCCACGACCAGATATCGGAGCTGGAGCATTCCCATGGGACGAAGATGTGGAGAGAGCGCAGGAGGGAGGTGTTGACGGGTCCGATGTTCGTGATGTGGTGGAGGAGTTGGGCCGGATGGGTTATCGAGAAGATGTTGTGGGTATAGAGGATGGGGAAGGCTTCGGCGTGGATTTGTTTGCAGGTGTGGAGGATCGAGGGGTGGAGGTGGTAGTGTTGGTATGGCGTGTAGAGGTGGATTTTCTTGAGGGTGGAGGGTGGGGTCTTGTTTTTGTTGGCGATGTTGTCAGCGACGGAGAGGGAGAGAGAGAGAGTTCGGCCGCGGGGGGGTTGTTGGTGGTGGCTGATTAGGAGGTGATTGTAGATGAGGACGCGGAGTTCGGATGGGAGGGTGAGGAAGAGGTTTGGTTTTGGTGGTGGTGGTGGTGTTGGTGTTGGGGTAATGGGTTCTTTTAGAGCCGGTGGTGCTGGCTCGGAATGTTCTAGGAGTATAGATGAGTACAGCGTGGGAAGTGTTGTTTTGAAAGTCGGAAGTTTACGCGATAAGGAGGGTGGTGGTGGTGGTGATGGGATAGGGTCGTGGAAATTGTAGAAGGGGACTTTGGTAACATCCTCAAGTGTGATGGCCATGGCGGTGCTGGCCTACATTCTTGATTCTGACTGTTGTCCATATGATAAATCCAGAAGTGTTGGGCCGGACATTATCGGGGGGATTGACCACTATCACATGATAGATAGTACACCGGTTTCCTGGAAGGGCTATATACTTTCGGAATATACCAAGTAAGCTCGGATGATCGTAACTTATCGTACTCTTACATCATATCATGCATCTCGCAGCAACCGCCTATCCAATGACGATGACCAATGGCAAGGCACCTACTTTATCTACGGTTGATAGTACTCTCCACTCGAATCCTCGCATGTTCGGCAATGCGCTTCATCGCAAAATATGGTCAGATAAATATAGCGTGACAAAAAGCAGAAGAGTGAATGATGATTTTCATGATATTGCGAATTTCCGATCGTATCAGCCTGTGTTTGTAGTATAACCCCAGTCCGGGGGCCTAGTTCTCAACGCTATCAGCGGTACTGCATACTTCCTGGAGTACTCTCAAGACAGCATTCTCCTCCTCGTGTACTCCAGGCGTTAACTAAAGGCTCGTAATTTAGGACTGTATTGATGAACTTCTCCAGCACTGCTAACCATACCCACTCAGCTGACAAGTCAATTCTTGTTCCTTTATTCATCGCTTTGGGGGAATCCATGGTATTTGCTTGAAAGGGGCAGTCATGCTGATATAGTATCCGCCACCATATTACCCGGTTTTATACCCCCTTAAAAAAGGCCTTTGCCCAGGTGGGGAAAAAAGGAAAAGAGACGAGGGGGGCGGCGCGCGTGCAAAGGTGGGGGGTTTATTCAACAGCATTAGCAGACATGTGGAGATGGTCGTAATGTTCAGTCTTGCTTCTTCCTGTAGGGTGTGTGCACAAGGTCTGTGTCTGGCCAGAGAAGAACGGAGTGCTAGGGGGCCTTTTATGCATGCAGGTCTGAAAGAGTCGTTAACCAACCGTTGAGTCGCAAACCCATTAAATAACCTAGATTTGTTGAGCCATCAGCTTTAACTTCCACCTCCTGCATGTCACGCAGGACTTTCTCGATATAGTCGCCGGCCCCGCTGAGTTTCATAATATGTGCAATGGCGCAGTGGACACGGAGAAGTCTGGGGTCTGGTGAATCAATCGACTGGTTAGGACTAAGGCTCAGAGTACGAGTGACGGGGAAGAACGGGTCGCGCAGGAAGGTACTCTCTTCAAGCGAGTCGATCTTATATTCATGTGGCCTTCCTGTGGGCTCGAAATAAATTTGGAATCCACTAAACAGTCGATGATAATCAAGCGTCAGTGTAAGAGCATTGATGGGTCTATCGATGTTCGGGCCATCAAGACGGTGACTGAGCCCAGGGTCAAACATATCCAGTATTCGAAACACCTTCCTTTTTGCCTCGCTCTTGGAAAGGTTAATATGCAGCCAGTAGATGATTATTGATAAACGTACCAACTCTGACTCTCCCTGCGCCAATGTTGTCAAACTGTAAGGAAGGATGTGCGCAACTTCCAGATACTGGAATTCGCCCCGTGAGCTACTGCTCAAGAGGTTTCCATTGTCATCTTTACAATTATCACCATCCTCGGCGTTGCGCTTCCTGGCTTCGACGATATCAAATTTGCGGGATATCACGCACCGGTGGTGATCACGTACAAGACAATCTTTCCGTAAGACAGATACACGCTGTCTCGTGCCCAATGGTGTAGGTGTCTGACTCAAGGACAATGCTGCTGGTGTTACTTGTGGGGTCTTACTTGACGAAGCCCTGACTAAGTGACCGCATTAGCAGATCAGCAGGTTCAAAGGACAAGGGACATTCATACGTGGAAGAAGGAAGTTGTCAACAATATTCTCAGCAAAACTTTCGAGAGCACCCTTTATGAACATCGATTTGCTTGGATCTATACTTTGATCTCCAGTGAAGGACTCAAAGTAAGATAGAGCAACAGTTATATTAATTTCCCCAGTCTCTCCAGCAGCTTTGTAGCTCTCATACATATATGAAAAGAAAATTTCTAGAAAATTGTCTTTCGACGTTACCCGTTCAAACATCTCCATGATTAGTTTTGCAGGCCTGTAACCCCTATGTACGCGTTGACCGAGGCCATAATCCTGGATAAAGAGATGCAGAAGCGCATGGGCCTTTTGGTTTTGCTGTGGCGTCAATGAGAAGGCTGGAGAGGAATCCATAAGGATTCTTAAGATGGTTGATGTCGGTGATAAGCCATGATGTATGTTATGAGGGAATTGACCACTCGTCATATAAACCGTCGCTATCACATGTGACGCGAGTCGTATGTTGTTTGGAAATTGGGTGACCCGTCTATGTCCGTTTCGGCTTTGCATTTCAGAGCGTTTACCCATGCTATGCTTAGTGATTTGCAGTTCGGTTACGGCTACGACGAGATTGTGTATATAGTTTCAAGAAAAATTGGGTATCATTTGATATCTGAATAAATGAAAAGAGAAACAAGATTGAGCAACTCCAAATACTCTAGCACACCAACATTAAAGTGTAAAAGAGGAGACACCTTTCAGACCTCCTCGACACCCACCAAGTCCGACCGACCGAAGTCAAGACATCATGACAAGGTAAAGATCATCACCACTCCCTGGACCATCGCACCGACACCCGAAACAAGTCCATCCGAAGACAGATTGTAACAGAGCGTGCAAATGCAAGGTCGAGTCGGAAGTAAAACGGCTTCACTTTAGGGCATCGAGGACATAGCAGTCATCAGCAAGGGTGGAGATTCTGTGGCTCTTTAGAAGAGCTCAGAGGTGGGACGTCTACTCTAAAGTGATTCTTTGAACTGTAGGCAGAAAGTGGTTAGCTGATGATTCTCCAAAGTGCATCATTTGGGAAGGCTGAAAGGCTCTTCCCAAATGTAGGGGGGAGGGGAGACTAACGTAGAGTCGCTTAATTTTCTAAATGGTTGGGGGGAAAGGGCCTTTTATATCTGCGCGGTGGACGCTCGCTTACGCTAGCCACTAGCGAGGTCATGTGTTTTGCCCGTTTTTGCTTGCTGCTTGAGTGGGTCGCCCAATCAGCGCCCGCGAAAACTCTTCCTCACCGCTGGCCGAGCCTTCACTTGGAGATCGAATTCGCGTGTTACTGTTTCCTGAAGCTTCCATGGTCTGTTTCTTTGACTAACGACTATTGTCTTTTCCATCAGACGTAACTTGCCTCCGTGGTTGTTGGTGGTGGTGGTGGTGGTGGTTTCTCCACAATAAAGTTGATGCATTTGGTGCCTGAGGACGGGAAGTATATCTTTGATTCCGTTCGGCACAACCACATCCATAACTTATGCCTTGGACTCCAACAACACCAACAGGTCTACATTCTACTCCAATGTTTCCGGTCTCCAACAAGTAACACTACAACTAGTTCCGCGAAGCTAACACGCGATACGTGCATTGGCTGTGCTCTACTTCGCGCAAAAATTAGCCTGGTCTCAGCTTGGAGAAGTAGTAGTCCCTATACGGGTCGAGTCAGTATGGATCCTGAGACATGCTATCTCGAGTGCGAACAAAATACATAGAGAAATTTAAATCTACTTGCATATTGTGTATACAGGGTTGGAGTCTGCTACCCAAAATAGCCCGTTTCTACTAGATTGACTGTCGGCTACCTTCAATGCCGGGTAGTTTAGTATGGCTCATTTTTCAGTCTACCTGATGCCCCGATGAACGTATCAGGACCACACCCCCTACAGCCATGACCGTTTGAGATTGATAGCCGGTTCACCCGCACAGCACAGATTCTGCCATGTTGATCCTACCGGAATGGGATCTGCCCTTTCGGGCACTATTAGGGTCCTTGTGCGCGCATGTGCTCCAGGGTCTGCCTCTAAAAGAAATGATGTAACAAGTTCCGAGATTTATCCTGCCATAAGGACATCAGGACCCTGGCTCGGCTATAATCATCGGGAAGTATCTGGGTAGAGACAAAGCATGCTGGGCGACACTTCATTGTTGCCCCTGCTGGCAAAACTTCCTTGCACTAGTGTATATGCTCAGGACTACTGTAAGTATGAACTGCAGGAACGGCTTTGTAGACTACAAGAATGACAAAGGCAATTGAAATGATGAAGACCATATTACAACATACAGAACTCCCAGAAAGAGTGACTTCCTTGAAAGTATCGCCGAAGTTACGCGGGTACGAGTTTCCGATGTAGAGCAGGTCTAGCATTGTTGTACCTGGGAACTGGAATGACAATAAAGTTCGAATCAGGCGTTTTAGAGCCCGTTTCATGATCGATCCCCCGGGATGAGCAAGGCACAGACATCTTCTTGTTCGTCCATCCATCATGATCGTCCCCGTTCCTGCTCCACCCTCACCCAAGAATCGGTCAACCAGGGTCTTGATGATCAACAGGCCCTGATGCTTATACTTCCATCAGGCTCCAGCGGCCGACCTTCCCACCAAAGAGAACAGCCCATCTAATGTTTCGTCCAAAAATCGAGGCGGTATGGAATTTTCCAGAGATCCCGGCTGAACCTACATTCAACCCGGTGCTACATCATATCGTTTCATGAAGAATGAACAGGTGCATTATCGATAGGCTATCAATGTCTTCCATACTCATGCCAGCCTTGACGGCCCGAGGAGCCAAAGGTATATAAACCTCTTCCTTGCCCGCTGAACAGTTTCTATCATCATCAGCATCGCATCCCATCGCATCTCACTCTCATACTCTCAAATTTTCAATACCTAAAAGCAATATCAGCTTTCCATTCAGCAAGATGAAGTTCACTGTCGGTTCTGCTATGGTGGCCACCACCTTCCTCTCCGCTGCGAACGCCGCCTTCCCCTCCATCCCCAACATCCCCGAGACCTGCTTGGAGATCCCCCAGGTCATTGGCAACAAGCCTCTCCAGCTGCTCTCCTACTTCCACAAGGAGGTCTGCGAGAAGAACTGCACTGCCACCATCAACCAGCACAATCAGTACCTTCAGGAGTCGGTCTTCCCCCAGATCATGAAGGACCTGGACCAGAAGCTGGACATACCCGCCTCCGAGCAGGCCTCTTTCCAGAAAATCCAGACTCAGATCACTTCCGCCATCGAGAAGGACTGCAAGTCTGAAGGCGACAAGCCTCTGTGCAATGACCTCGAGGGTCTGGCCAACTACGGCATTTGTGCGCTCAAGGCTAGCCAGCCCATCATCATGAACAACATTGGCCAGCTCCAAGGCTCCGTGAACATCACCGACGCCGACTGCACCAAGATCAAGCAGATCGATTCCGACGCGACTGTCTGGCAGAAGACCCTCCCCGGGTACGTTGACAAGTTCGCTCAGCTGTGTGAGAGCGAGAAGTCGAACTAGAGGTATGACAGCTTTGCCCGATAATTGCAAAACATTGCTGACTGTTATGATCAAGGTTCGCGGGACCAACAATCCGGTGAAAGAAGCCTGCTATATCGCATGGATGTGTAGTGTTAGGAGATCGGGAATCTTTGGCTTTTTGGGTTTAGTCTGACGCTGTAGCAGCATCTGGGATGCTCGCCGTCGCTCCTTTGGACGCGTCGATTCGCAATGAAGAATGTTATTGTGAATTCCTGACATTGACAGGTAGTTCATCAGGTACTCTAGTTTAGAAAGTGAAATGTGACTTTTTGCTTTTCTGTTCCTGCAGTGAAATCGTCAATCGTAAATTAATGGTGCCTGAAATTCGGCGTTGAACCCCTGGCGCTCACGTGCCCGAGGATCATCCGCGGCGGCTTCCGAACTGCTGCTTATCTCCATCCGATAACTTCATCCGATAGTGTTACCTCAATACTTCATCGAATGATAATCTCCACACTCTCTTCATTCCCCTTCAGACTGTCGTGGCACAATGCGGGGTGCTTCCAGTCTAACTCCTTGCAGACAGCACTCTTGTCAGGCCCTGAACGAACCCCTCTGAAATCGGATCTACTACACCGAACATCAGCGGCATCACTGGCACCCCAGACGGATCCACTGAACATCTCGGCATGCCATCCTCGGTACTATGCCCCGCCCTAAAGTACACCCAGCCAACCGCCTAAGAGCCTATGAGGCTTGCAATGCGTGCAGGTCGACAAAAAAGCGATGCAGTGGGACATTTCCATGCTCAAAATGCATCAGGCTCGGACGCGCCGATACATGCGTGCCGAGTCCACGGCCCGCTGCTCAACGGCCGACTGCAAACACCCGAATTTCCGACAATAGCAATGTAACATATGATTCTGGGCGTCGACCAACCACAACCCTTGGTGCGAATACCTTGGCAGGTCGGGCAGATTCCGCTAGTTTCGAGGCTTCGGAGCCAAGTCGATCGACAGTAGATACTCAGCCTATGTCCCCAGAAACGTTACATAGGACCCATCCGCGGATGCTCCGCAATCTCCGCGGCGAACGAGGTAATACAGAACTAAATGGGTTGTATCAGAGGCTGTAGCTAATTTTTCGCGTTCGGCAGTCTATGTGGGAAAGGCTGCCTCCTTGTCCTTCCTACAATTGGTCCGAGACACTGTATCACAGTATATTGGGCCATCGCAATTCTCGCACAATGTGAAAAGTGAAGATATGCTGGAGACGGAGACACCGCATGGAACTCCTCCAACACTAGAGAGTAGTCTGGACTCGTATCAGCTACTCCAGTACTATCAGACCTATAGCTCTGCTACGAGTGGCTTTATCTACGTCTTGTCAGGTGCGGAAGCTATGGAAATTCTTGATGCTTTGATTGAGCCTAGCACACATCCGGATAGAACAGAGATGGCCGTCGCAGATATGATAATCGCTATCGGGGCACAGGCTAGCAAACGCACTGTATCGACCGAGCAAGCCGAACGCTATTTCTTCTCCCGTGCTCAACGCAGCGCCTTTGAGGGGATGTTAGAAAACCCAAGCCTACCTCTGATACGGTTGTTCCTATTGATGTCCTTCTATATGCTTGGTGCTTGTCGTCGGAATGCTGCCTTCATGTATCTTGGAGTGGCTGTCCGGGCTGCCGTGGCATTGGGTCTTCATCTCACCGAGCTCGCGGATGCCGTGCCTAACCCTGAGCAACACCAGAGAGCAAGGGTGTGGATGAGTGTCTATAACCTGGACCTCCTGGTAAGCTCTATCCTTGGGAGGCCGGCTGCGACAGCTGCTCTACGTTCAGAGACAGATGATGGGCCTATCCGTTACACACTCCTGGAGGGCCACATGTCGATGGGCCTGGTTGCGTCCTACGGAGTCTCGAGGATCTTAGAGGAGATTATCTCGTCTATGTACAGCAAAGAAGGAGCCTCGGCTGATCTCGCAGAATCGCTTCTGGCCAAACTCAAGCAATGGAGCGATGAATTACCGGGCCCATTGGTAGAGCCTCCTAACCTTGACTTCGACGAACCTGCTGCGCGAACCCATATCATCAACAATCTTCACGTTGCGTGCATCTACCATTTTGCGGTAATCACAGCTACGCGACCCTTCCTGGTGTCAGTACTAGGCGTGCGGCTGGCGCGGTTGCACAACGACTCTACAGACGGCGCATCAAGTGATCTGTTGCACGAGGAGGCGGCACATTCCAATCTGGCAACTGCTTGCATCGATTCGGCCTTGTACATGATACAGACGTGCTCCGAGGTGCACCGCTCTGGATTAATGCTAGGTAATATGTGCATACTGAAAGCTTTTGTATTCGCTGCCGCTTTGGTTCTCGGGTTCTCGATGTTCTCTCGGAAGGAGGCAGAGCCCTCGCATGAACGGGCTTATGGGGAAGCCCTGGAGATTCTTCGTGTGCTTTCGGAGCAGTCCGCCCAGGCAGCACATTATTATGAGATACTTAGTTGCCTGGGCAATGCCGTTACTGAGCAGCGTCGACGACTGGAACAGCATTCCCGCCAGATCAAGGGGCGATATGTCAGTAAGCTTTTCAGTCTGGATGATCGCAGGCCCTCTGTGGAGGTGCAACGGGGGTTAGACACGCCATTGTTGAATAGCGTTTCTGCTATATCCCCTGAGGCCGGCATCTCGGATCCATGGGCTGGTATTCAGCGCCTGGGTTTTATGGACTCTCTGGGGATTGATGCAGCATTCACTGGTCTCGACGGTATGCAGCTGCCGGTGTGGGATAGCTTTCCCTTCGTTGGCGAGGCTTTTCAGTTGCAGGGCAGGGTAGGTGATGTAACTTGATGTTATATGAGAACGATTTATGCCGTGACTTGTGATCTCTTTATGCATTATTTGGCGGGAGCGTGTATGAATTTCATGGTTATTTATCGGTTATGTAAAGTTGTCGAATGGTGTCGCGGGTACGTGGAAGTTCGAACGCTCCAACCTTCGGACACTATGTTTTTCTATTTCCTTTTCATCTAAGCTCATTGCCTATGGTGCTTACTAGACCGGTGGTGTGTACTATTGATAGTTTACGTCTTCTGTGGGTGTCTCTGGTATTCTCAAGAGACAAGAGTCGGTGTTATTCGAAAAGGTAGAAAAGAAACTGTTTGTGAATATATATACCTTCATCCGCCACTTACAGCACCCTTCCAATACAGACCATAGCAGATGAAACTACCATAAAAGTGCCAAAATAGAATAGCATGTACCTGTTTAAATACGTTTCAGGCCACACCAACCAAAACATAAAGCAAACCCGCAGGTCTACTATCAAAATGGGGATCCTGAAGATTCGCACTTCCGTCGATGGTGCAACTGTGAGGCAAGCGGCTAACTAGCCTTAGAATGCAAATTTAGTTCACTAATTTTCAACAATTGGCCTGCTGGCCCAATGGTAAGGCGCTTGACTACGGATCAAGAGATTGCAGGTTCGAGTCCTGCGTAGGTCATTTCTTTTTGCATTTTATTTTTTTCACATTGTCTGTCGTCTATACTCCGTACACTTCGATCACTCCTTCCCCTCTTCACAGCTCCACCAGCTTGGTGTCCCCGACCGTACCATCACCTTTCACACCTATCGCACTCCAACGATGCATGAGACATGGGCAGGACTGGTGTCAGCCTCCCCCAAATATTCTTCTAGACCCTACATATGTCGATGTGCTGCATACTGACTCGTGTGAGTGATGCCTGACGAAACGTTGCGAGCATGGACCAACACAATGTATCCTGCGAGGCCGTCCGTCAACCAGCCATGCTTCACGCACTATGCTGCAGGATGCAAACGACGCATTGTTTGCCAATATCCGTCCCTTCTCCCCCTCCACCCCAAAGGACTTTCCCGCGCTACATTGAACTAGTTCAGACGGTGGTTGGTGGCTGCTTTGTCTCCACTTCCACAGCTCCAGCGGCCCGCCGAGCGGGTCGTAGATGCATTGTATCTTACTATCCAAGATGCCTGATTTGTCTGCACGACCTCCTACAACGGCCGGGGCACATGCTTATCCTCGCCGGCCTCCTTCCTCTTCCCCGCTCTAGTACAAGCTGATGGCGTTGGTTAACATACCACTGGCGAATTATGCTCCTACCACTGCAGCCACTTCCGTTAGTGCATGTAACCCGCGACTATTGACGATGACGAGGTTGAGTTACAGTTGATGGACTTGTCAACACCTTAGGGGCTTAGAGCAATGCACTAAGGAAAGCCACGGTCTCACCAGCAGATGCGCCGAGCAGGGCTATGGCATCGCGCATTCTCGTTCTAACGGCGACCGGGCTAGATCAGCTCGTTCTCGCCTCCCATTCCACGCCGATCACCGAGTCATGAGCTTCATGGATGGCAATCATCATCACGGCAGACAATCGCAGCCAATGTATACCCTGTCATAGATGGGGTCTTCGGCAGCCTTGCATATACCTGACGCTCAGCTATGCGTCTGCTATCACCTCCTACGTTGATACGGCTGGAAGGAGGAGGACAGTGTATGCACGCCCCCCTCTCAACCCCGAAACATATGATATTTCAATATATCCTGCAGCGTCGGACAAGGATGCACGCTTCGCTATACTTATGAAGGCACGCCCCTCAAAAGGACCCAGTTCTGCTCTTCTCATCGAGGCCAGCACGTTGACGGTCTACTGAACCATGTCCCTGCTAGTGAGAGCCATCACTGGCCTGCTCGGCCTTCTTATTCTCAAGTCCTTTTTGACTCGCAAGAAGTTTCTGGCCCCACTCCCCCCGGGCCCCAAGCCAAAGCCGATCATCGGGAACCTGCTCGACCTACCATCCAAGGGAGAAGCAGATTGGCTGCATTGGTATAAACACAAGAAGATCTATGGTACGTATAATACCGACACTCACGTGCCTAGTCACGGCTAACGATATCCATAGGCCCTATCAGTTCGGTACAGGTCTTTGGAGAGACCCTCATAATCGTTAACGATGCCCGTATTGCAGTTGAGTTGATGGAGAAGCGTTCAGTTATACACTCAGATCGACCTAGCCTAACATTTATCGAAATGTTCGCAATCACCGCCCCGGGAAGGTTAGTTCGCTGCTAACAGCTGGCTAGGTCCGGGTTCAAGGATATCTTCAGCATGAGGAACAACAATGACCCGCGAGTTCGTGCTGAGCGGAAGCTATTCTATCAACAAATTGGATCAAACAACTCTGTTGCGCGGTTCAACTACATTCAGGAGGCTGAAGTTGGTCGTTTCCTGGTTCGGGTGCGTGATAACCCCGAAGGGTTGCAAGACCACATACGGAAGTATGTCTGCCATATTAGCTCCTGGAAATGCACCGGTGCTAACGACTATATACAGACAAGCAGCAGCAATCATCCTGAAACTAGCATATGGATACAGTGTTGTGCCACATGGGGATGACCCACTGGTGGATCTTATAGGCCGGGCAATGGGCAATTTCGGCGCGGCCCTTGTTCCCGGGGTGTGGCTAGTGGATTTCGTTCCATTCTGTATGAACTGTAGCTCACCCGACGAAAGGATACGGCTAACCGGATGATTAGTGAGGCACATTCCGACCTGGTTCCCAGGTGCCACATTTGCACGCGTTGCAGAGACCTTCCGAGAAAGCGCCCGAGCCTGGAACTGTCAACCGTACGAGTTTGTCCGGTACCAGATGTCGCAGAAGAAGCACGCGCCATCTTATATATCCGGCTTAATCGAGGAGAAGGGTGTCCCAGAGCCAGGCTCCTTTGACGAGGTTGTCATGAAATGGTCAGCCGCGGCAATGTACGGTGGAGGATCCGACACGGCAAGCACTACCCTCTGAACCCCGTAAGCCGTATCTAATTACATACCAGACCATTTCCACCATGGGCGGACTTTTCCTTGCGATGGTTCTCTACCCGGACGTACAGCGAAAGGCACAGGAAGAAATCGACCGAGTTGTTGGAACAGACCGTCTTCCCGGCTTCGACGATCGCGACAACCTCCCTTATATCAACGCAATGGTCAAAGAATCCCTCCGTTGGCACTCCGTGCTTCCAATGGGAGTTGCGCACTGCTCGTCGGAGGATGACATGTGCGAAGGCTACTTTATCCCCAAAGGCTCCCAGATCCTGCCGAATCAATGGTGAGACCTAGCCCTCTTCCTCCAGTCAATGGTCGAAGTCTATATCTAATACCTCTCCAGGGCCTTCACTCACGACCCAGATGTTTATCCCGATCCAATGGCCTTCAAGCCAGAACGATTTCTAGCAACTGAGAACCACACTCCCGAACGCGACCCCCATCTCCTCGCCTTCGGGTTCGGCCGTCGTATCTGTCCCGGCCGCACACTGGCAGATGCCAACATCTACCTGAGCATTGCGCAGTCGCTGGCCGTATATCGCTTCACTAAGGCCATCAAAAACGGTAAGGAAGTGGACGTAGAGCCGAAGTTCTTGACCGGAGCAATCAGTCACGTGGCGCCGTTCGAGGTGGGCATTAAGCCCCGAAGTCAGCAGCACGAGGCGCTGCTGCAGGCGTTGGAGGCCAAATTCCCGTGGGAAAAGGGTCACGCGGAGGAACTCAGTCAGGTGAAGTTTTGAAGCAGATGAGTTCCTTGCATGCTGATCGATAGTGTTTGTCAGATCATGCATGATTTGATTACCGAGTAGTTGGGGGCATATCCCGTCGGGCGTCGAATATTTAGTTTGTCAGATGTTACTTATTCCTTAGTTATCACGGGTAGAGAATTAGGCAGACAAGTCAAAACTACCCAGTTAGTCTAGGTAACCGCGACACCAACACCCTTCAACCAAATCACCGTACAATCAGCGTGACACCATCTGACTCATCCAGCCCCATTCCTGAGCCTTGAAGTTAACTAATAGTTACTAGTTAAACGGAAGAAGGCGATGAAACATGATAATCGCCCAGCCACTATTTACTACTACTTATATACCTAATACCTAATAAATAGCCTTATATCTACATGCCAGAACCCACCCATCCTTATAGTACTGGTACCCCCCCGCATTTCTACCACTCACTGTCTGTCAACTAACTCTACTACTACCTGACATTCCTTACTACTTAACTTACTTTAACCTTTATCCATCTGTCCACCTCTGCCCTCCGAACACATTTATACCACACCACAGCCACTACCATACTATACTATACCATACTATACCAAGAACACAATGACCCTACCATCACCACCACCATCACCAACCCCCACCTCAAGATCAGATTCAGGATCAATATCCCTCCCGCGCTCCCAACAAAGCATCGAAACCGATCTCGCGACACTTGAAGCCATGATCGAGGAACTGAATAATAGTGTGCTTCCGAGGATACCGGAGGGGAGGGGAAGGGGCGGTGGGGCTACTACTGGAAGACAAAGGAGGAGGAGGGGGGGAGCAAGATGCGTGGAGAGGGTTGAGGATGTTGCTGGGGCGATGAGGTTGTGTACTATTGGGGGGTGATTGATGGGGGTTTGTTCTTTTCTGGTTTGGGGGATGACTGGTGGGGTTTGCGAGGTGTTGGATGTGTAGGGATGGTATTACTACTACTAGGGTGTTCCTGGGTGATGATGACGATGGCTATGGTTATGGCTGTTTAGCGTGATTTGTTGCTTGGGAGTTTGTTTTCGGGTAGGGATAGATGGGTTGTGGGCGTATTTGCTGCTTGCTTTGGATAGCTATGGTGTTTGAACTGGTTATTACGATCGGGAAATCCCGACCATAGATCTTGTATGGGATGAAGGTAGATGTATATCATATATTGCTTTCAGATGATTATGTATTACATGGCTGACCCAGGTATATCCTCCCCTGGATGTGTGCTTCGTGTCGTCGTTTCCTCGTAGATGTCGTATCAGTGCATCGTGCAAAGTAGCAGCCAGCTGCTACCGACATGAGTTCCCGTTGAGTATCCAATAAGTTGCATCATGTTAGGCAACTGAAGAGCTGTTGGACGTATAAATGGCCGCCATTATACTGCCACCACCGCGCGGTTAAAAAGCCTGACAGAGTTAGTATGATTGAGATTAAATTCTATACCGATAAGGCAACTCACCTTGCACTCATATTCCAAAGCAAAAACACACAGAGAAAGATAAGCCCGTGGATCAAAGCTGCAAGCATGTTAGCTCATAATCTCAAGCGATACGTTCAGATGCAAACCAACCTTCATTCCCAAAAGACCTGACCATCTCCCAACGACCCCGTTTCTTCATCCACAATGGAAGCAGATCCTTCTGACAAGTCCTCCCCTCAATGACCAGGCACCCACCCGGTTGTGCCCGACACTCCAGATGCCGTCTTCTGCGCTCCATGATCACTCGAATTGTCTTGTTACAGAACGCCTCGTCCGTCCGGAACGAGCATTTCTCCATTGGACAATCGAGTTTCTGCGAAAAGCGTTCCACAAACCAGTCGACCTTCAGGTGGACCCCGGTGTAGACGAGAGAGTAGAAATGACGAGAGGTGTGTTTCAATGCTAGTGCATCTGGGTAAGGGAGATATGTGGAGATATGTAGATGGAGTTCTGTGGGGAGGTCCATCAGATTGAGTGAAGGGATAGCTGGGGCTTCTTGGAGCGATGAGGAATCCATTGTGTGTGTTATTTGTTTGTGTGGAGGGTAGTGTGATGTAGATGTAAGATGGATGAAGCGAAAGTAGTCTATGAGGATATGGATTGTGACCAAGCTGTGATGCTGAATGAATATCGTCCTATTGCTTGGATGCTGTAGACACCTTAATATAATCGAATATTTGGTTGCCTTGGTGAATTGTTGGCGGCGCTTAAATTGTTGCCTAGGCGCTGAAAATATGATGCCTGATTGTGGCTATACGAGACTAGGCGGCAAAGAATTGAGATGCTTCAAGCACTTTAAAACCGAGCTAGGATGTAGTCCAAGAGCGATCGTCCTGCTAAAGCTGGATAACCAATCCATTGACAAGATTCAGAGTTCCCTAAAAATAGAAGTCTAGACTTCGTGTCGACACTGCCAATATACACCAAGATAAGTGCAGCGATGGAGAAAGGGGAAACAATAACAAGAAGTAAGATCCGGGGATGTCCTGCAGATCCATCCACCCCGCTTTGCCCACCGCCTGCCTTTTCTGCCGGCAAGCTTCCATCCATCGGCTTTTCGCCTCCGATAACTATCGACATCAACTGAATATCAAGCTATCAACTTCAATCAATAAACGCATACACACACCCCAGGACCAAACCCCATCTTCCATAAACAGTACCCAATAGGGTACCTCCCCACAATCACCATGAGCAACAACAAGCAATCCTCCGCCTACGGCACGCCCTCCTCGGACACCGCATTCCGCAAAACCTGGGACCGCGAAGAATACGCCAAAAAAGCCGCCGATGACGAAGCCAAGCGTAAGGAAGAATCCAAAGCCCGGTATGAGGCCAAACTCCTAGGCAAGAAATGGCACGCGCCGGTGGATTACAGCCAACTTGAAGCCACGACATCGCGCAAAGAGCGACTCGATGTCGCTTCGATGGTTGGCAAGACGACTATTGTCGCGTCGGGGTCAGCGATCGGAAAGAGAGGTCGGGGTGCTGGATTCTACTGCTCGGACTGTGATTTGACGTTTAAGGATAACTTGCAGCTTGTGGAGCATTTGAATAGCAAGCAGCATTTGATTGCAACGGGGCAGAGCGGGGAGGTTACGAGGGCTACGGTGGAGGATGTGCGGGAGAGGTTGAGGATGTTGGCGTATCGGAAGCGGGTGCGCGAGGAGGAAGAGAGACGGGCTTGGCAGTTGGATCTTGGGGAGAGGCTGAAGGAGCGGGAGGAGCAGGATGCTAAGGAGAGGGAGGAGAAGAGGAGGAAGAGGAATGAGAAGCGTCGTAAGGGGGGCGATGGGATCAAGCAGGAGGATGAGAGCTGGGAGGGCAGGTTGGGGATTATTGCGTAAGCTCATGTGGGTGAGCTTGGGCATGTGCATGGTCTGTTTCGGAAAATATGGTCATAGATGGGATGGTTTATCAGGGCTGAAAGCTGCAGTATACCCATGGCGTTTGGAGCTGGAGAATTCATTAATCGCAAATTTCCGTTTTATCCAAACAAGAGAGAATATCATTGTCGCATCAGAAAGCGCAAAAATCCCATAAGCATATACCGACTGCACCGTTATCAACAGAGATTGCGGCAAAAATATTGTACCACTGAAAAACAAGAGGAACCCAAGTACCTATTCCAATGCCCATTGCCCGACCCGCATACTCCTAACAGATAATACCCAAGTGATTCGATCAATCTATGCATTCTATGCCTTCCAACACCCGCATAGCTCGAGCACCCTCGCGTTCAAACTGGCTGACCAGCCTCTCGCACTCCTGCTTGAGCTTCTCCTCTCCGTTCTTCGCGTTCCACTTGATCCATTCCTCAACGGTCATCTTCTTCTCAGGGCTTGTCAAGTCGCCCTTGAAACTATGTAAACCGCCAAAGTCGATGTTTTCCTTGTCACCTCCAGCCAAGATAATTCCGTCAATATCGATGGGAGTCCACGGATGGGATGTGTTCAGGGAATTCGCATTTGGCCCTCGCTTGGAAGGGGAGGGGGTGCTGGCTGCAAGTGGAATTCGAACCTGCTTAGAAGGCGACCCTACTGGCGCCCGGTTCACAGACGGTTTCAGAGACGGTGGCTGATTCTCGGCGTCGGAAGATTGCGGCGACAGTGACAGAGTGCTCTTAGAAGGCGAGGGAAGAGGCGACACCGTAGCTGGCTCAGATTGCTCCGGCTGATGGCTCTCTTCCGGCGCTGGGTCGATATGGGAGTTTCGAGATTCTGCTAATGACCTGGCATACTGCTTCTCTCTGGGAATATCGCTGTATCTTTCCACCGTCTTTGGAGGAACCCGAGATGATCTGCGTCGAGCAGATGGCTGATCTGGGGTCTGACTTTGAGGCTTTTCTTGCTCAAGTTGTTGTGGGGTGTCAGGCTGTTGTTCTGGCCCGTCTGTCGCCTTGTTCTCAGCCTTGGTGTGGCTCTCTTCGTGGTCAAAATCTACATCAACCTTCTGTTCTGCGTGTTTGGAAGCTCGCTGCTTCTCCGCTGAAGCCTTTTTCTTCGTCTTCTTAGATTCCTTGATATTCTGAGCTGCACCGACGCCCTGCTCTGAGTTCATTGCTGGAATTTCCACAGAGATGAATGACTCTTGTTGCTTCGCGTCGGCCACAGCGTCAGTCGTAGGTTCCGGCCCTGGCTGTATGACGGACTGGGGTGGCTCTTGGTCATGGCTACTTTGCCGAAGCTTATCGGAGACTCTTGCGCTTTGCCGTCTGCTTGTGCGTCGGGCCTGCTGTACCTCTTCGACTGGTGGTTCCGGTTTCGGTTCTGGAGCCTTCTCAGGCTCTGGCATCGCCTCTTCCTGCGGCCCCATGTCTGCGCTATGCTCTACCGTTTCATTTGTCGGCTCCGGCTCCGCCTTGGCCTTCTTCTTGGATTTAGACTTGGACTTTTTCAACGGCTTGGGCTGAGGCTCCTCGCTTGGCTCTTCACCGGGCTTCTCCAGATCTTGGTCGACATCCATTGCTGCATCTTGCTCATGGTTGGGAGGAACCTCAGACGCGGCTCTCGAGATGGCCGAATCTGTGGAGACTTTCCGGCTCTTGGATGTTGTTTTCTTCTTCGTTCCACGGTTCTTCTTTGGCTTCTCTTCTTCGACAAGAGGTTCCTCTACCTGTGCATCTTCCCTAACGGCCTCTAGGCTGCTGTCGTATTCCTGCTGTGTGCTGTTGCGTGACTTGGTGGCTCTCTTTTTGGCCGGTCTTTCGGGCTTTTCCACCGTCTCAGAGTCCACAACGTCGGCCTCGTCCTTGAGGTCGTCACTAGTTCTCTTCTTTCCCCTAGTGCGTTTCGTCTTTTTGGGCTCGGGCTGGCTGTAATCGGTTGTATCGACGTCCATCTGACTGTCAACGTCTACTGTTTCTTCCTTCTTGGACTTTGTCTTTGATTTGGACTTGGAAGATTTCTTCGAGGATTTCGTTTTTGTAGTTGATTGGGACAGGGTACTCTGGTCTATCGGGTCGTCTAGCTCAGATACTGGCGCTTCCGATGCGGTAGATTGTGTGGATAGACGAGAAGCCTTCGAAACACGAGCCTTCTTGGACCGGGAACCTTTCCCTTTCTTTCCAGCGGGTTTGGCAAAGACAAAGAAGGAGCAATCCGACGAGCGACGATAGTGTTCATCACTGATCAAATTAGCGATAGTTGGAAAGGAAGGAGCAACGCAGACTCACAATGGATCATCCTTAGGTTCCCAGCCATCCAGAGACAGTTTACAATATGGGCAGGTGGCCAAGTCGTTGCTCTCTTCGTTCGGACAGAAGTACCATCCACCTTCCACCATCTGTAATGCAGTGCAACAGTTAGATTCCCCGAGTGGAACCAATACAGCAGGTGTAGTAGCAGCGCTCAACATACCTTGTCGGATTGACAGTACCAGCCTCGCTTCCCGTCATGCGGCCATGATTCGCCAAATGTGGCTTGCCTGGCTTGCGCTATCCGCTCGCTTGTGGGATCCTCAATCTCAGCAGGATTAGAACTGTGCTGTTGGATGTCCATCATAATAGCCCAGCCACAATCCCGGGTGTGCTTGAGGTGCTCTGTAATGGGGTTGTCATCTTCCTCCCAACCGTCTAGTGCTCTGCGGCACAGGAAGCATGTTGTGTTATCGGGGTTCGTTTCGTAAGGGTTGTAGAAGAAACCTGCATGCGCAAGCTATGACCGTGTGACATATCAGCAATTGTGCATTTCTTGAGTTGCAGGTGCAAAACACCATACCTCAGCGGGAGATGGCCGGCTATGCGGCCAAGCGATCGGTTTCGCAGACTTCGCGCTGGATGACCTCCGTTTCTCGGGATACAACACCCGATCGAAACTGGCGAGGCGAGCGGCAAAGGTCTCCATTTCCTGGGCCATGGCTGCGAGAATTTCAGGACATGGGGAGTGGTGAAATCGAGGGTCAAATCGAGCTGTAATCGACTAAAGCGCGAGAGTTGCTGTTCGAGGCCTGCGCCCGCCGTCACACTCTTGTTTACGGCGTTGTTTGGGTCTCCGAAACGCGCCGCGGAGGAACGATCCCACGTGACCTGCAAGATGTGGCTTGACTGGTTTGGGAGTGTCTGGGGTCGGGATCGTGGCGAAGTCGGGCACTTTCCTCATCCGGGCTGCAATCGAACAGGCCGAGAACACCTGCCGAAGAGTACGTCAGACCCTCATTATTGTGAACATTTGTTGTCGGAGCCATCCCCCCCCAGTCTCCTCTCCACTCCTGCTCGCCCTCTGTTTACCTTCCTCCCAATCTGTATCGGTTTGGAAGTATGGTCTAAGGCGGTCGTTCTCAGATGATTCTTGACTTGATTTCTAATTACAGCCCTCGCTGTGCTCAACTTATCCTTCCCTTAGTGGAATCGCGACAATGCGCCAAGCTACTGTAAGAAGAGACACCGGGATGCCTAGACCCTCGGAGTGCATCACCCGCTAGAGACTAACGGCTACCTTGCTAGACATTCCTATTGAACACGAACTCAGGTTATGTGCGCCTGCGTTCGATCAACCCGTCTCTCCCGCGGCATGCGCGCATCCCGGGTTCTTTTCGTTCCTTCTCGGTTGACCCCTACTCGACTTCATCACCTCATGGCATCTCCTCTCCTTCGAACCGATCCTCTTCCCATGGTGTCCTAACCTCGCAATCGACCTCCACAGACCGTGGACTTCTGCTTCCCTCGTCTTCAGCCTCCTTCTCTACCTCCTCACAGCGGTCGGATCCCGGCGACTGGGATGCGAATCCGGACCTCTCGATCTCCGCGTTTTCGGAGCTACCTTCCAAAGACTTCGGGGTCAATCAGCATATGGTGATCAACCAGGAATTCAAAGAAGCCTTGCGTCAGATTCTTTGGCAGTTCCGAGCTCCGATTCGATATGCATTTGCCTATGGATCCGGTGTCTTCCAACAGACAGGCAGTGCGCCTGGCTCCAGTCAATGCCACCCGTCGGCCCCAGCAGCCATCAAGAACATGCAGCAGGGGCAAGGTAAAATGATTGATTTCATTTTCGGGGTATCATACTCCCAACATTGGCACTCTTTGAATCTTCACCAGCATCGAGACCATTACTCTGGCCTGGGATCCCTGGGCTCTTACATGGTATCCCAAGTGCAGGATCGAATTGGCGCCGGGGTCTACTTTAACCCCTACATCACCGTGAATGGTACACTAATCAAATATGGGGTCGTGAATCTTGACACACTGTGCCGGGATCTCAGCCAATGGGATACCTTGTATCTTGCTGGACGGCTGCAAAAGCCAGTCAAGATCTTGCGTGACCACCCGAAGGTGCGACTGGCCAATCAAATGAACTTGCTATCCGCCGTCCGAGTAGCTCTACTGCTGCTCCCGGCTGAGTTCACCGAGTTTCAACTGTACAGTACCATTGCAAGCATGAGCTACATGGGCGATCTTCGCATGGCACTGCCAGCGGAAGATCCTCGCAAGGTGAACAACATCGTGTCGTCGCAGATGGCTAACTTCCGGCGACTATATGCGCCCCTTATTGAGAACCTGCCCAATGTTACGTTCAACGATAAGCGTTGCACGGAGGGCGATTGGATCGATGATCCCGAAGCCAACGTGCGCCTTACTCAGGATATGGATCCGGTCAAGCGCGGTAACATGGTTCGCCGTCTGCCGGACTCTTTCCGTGAGAAGCTCTACTTCCAGTACCAAACCCGTTATCAGATCCCTCGGGTCGAGTTCGACAAGATGATGAAGGAGAGCAACAACAACGACTCCGATTTAGTGCGTCGGAGGCAAGGAGGTCCATTTGAACAGCGGATCGCTGATGACAAGAGCCTCACGAAAGAGGTACAGACTACAATTGCAAAGACCATCCGCTGGCCCAGCACCGTGCAATCGGCGAAGGGACTGCTCACCTCGGGGGTCAGCCGAACCTGGCGATACTTGCGCGAGAAGCAAGATAAATACAAGAAGTCTGGCCAAAAGGCCAAGACTTCCGATGCTGCTGAAGAATAGAAACTTATGACTAAAGCATGATTGCTCACTCTCGACCCTGGAGGACATGGGCAACCCTAGACGACATCTGTCTGAAGGCATTTGAGGCGTTGTTGCTTGTACGGCATTGGTAGTCATATGTGTATCTAGTATGTCATCTTGAGAGTCCTCAATGATTAAGAAAATCAAGGACCGCAGACAGTATATAGAAGGCCTGGAGCATTACATAAAGAGAAAGGATAGATAGATGAATAACAAACTGTACAATAGTGGTTTAAGACTTGTCTGTCTGTGTCACCATTTTTATACTCATAATCATTGCCGCAGTACCTGGAGCGACACACCCGCCGACACCGGGTGTTCCGCCGATCAACTTCCCCGCCACCGGTGACTCCCTCCCCGCCTGGCCATTCTTTCTTCCTCTCCCCACCACCATACTCTCGCTCATCACATATCAATCTGTACACAATGGCTCCATTCGATCTCGCCAAATGCGCGCGGCCCAATATCCTCAAATTGCAGCCTTACCGGTGCGCCAGAGAGTGTGTTTCCCCCGTCTCCGCTAGACTGCGACGAAGGCACTAATGAGTCAGTGACTACAAAGATGATGGGACGAACGTCTTGCTCGACGCCAACGAGAACGCCTACGGCCCCGGTCTTGCCCTCAATCCTGAAGGTGCTCTGCAAGAGTCTACTGTGACGGGATCGTCGACGGGTTCTACCAAGCCAGAAATTGATTTCCTGGGTCTGAACCGTTATCCGGATCCGTAAGTCTCGCTCGTCCCCTCGCTCGCACAAGGTCCTTCACCACCAACCCACCTGTCTCTTATACATTTTGCTATTGAATTGCTGTTGGATTGCTAAAAGAAGTCGTGTGTCAGTCACCAGGTCGAGTTGAAGAAGCTTTTCTGCCAGCTGCGCAACACCCACACCCACACCCAGAAGGACCTTGGGCCCGAGAACCTCTTCGTCGGTGTTGGATCGGACGAGGCCATCGATGCGCTTTTGAGATGTTTCTGTGTTCCTGGCAAGGATAAGATCCTCACTTGCCCTCCCACATATGGCATGTACGGTGTCAGCGCACAAGTGAACGATATTGAAATTGTGAAGGTGCCTTTGGATGTGGACAATGGCTTCCAACTGCAGCCGGAGAAGATCAACGAGGCGCTTGCGGCAGACCCCTCGATCAAGATGGCCTACATTTGCTCTCCCGGAAACCCCACCGCGAACCTGATCAAGAAGTCCGATATTCAGAAGGTGCTGGAGCACCCGACGTGGAACGGAGTGGTGGTTGTCGACGAGGCGTACATTGACTTTGCTCCTGAGGGCTCTAGTCTGGCTGAATGGGTTACTGAGTGGCCCAACCTGGTGGTTATGCAAACGCTGAGCAAGGCGTTCGGTTTAGCGGGTATCCGCCTGGGTGTTGCGTTCACGAGTCCTCCGATTGCAACTCTCCTCAACAGCCTCAAGGCCCCGTACAACATCTCTAGCCCAACCAGCGCACTTGCCACGGCGGCTCTCTCTCCGACCAACATGGCGGTTATGAAGAAGTACCGGGAGAAGATTATTGTCCAGCGGGACCGGTTGGTGCAGGAGCTGCCCAAGATTCCGGGTGTCGGCCGTTTCCTTGGCGGCCAAGAAGCCAATTTCCTCCTGGTCGAGATGCTAGATAAGCCGGCTAGCGAGGGCGGCAAGCCTAGCAACAAGACCGCGCTGGCTGCTTACGAGGCCATGGCCGAGAAGAGGGGAGTGGTGGTGCGGTTCCGTGGCAAGGAACTTGGCTGCGAGGGTTGCCTGCGAATCACCGTAGGAACCGAGCAGGAAGTCACCAAGTTCTTGCAGGAATTGCGGGTGGTCCTGGACGGCATTCTCAAGGGGGTGGACATTCAGTCCCTGAGGGAGTAGATGAGCCAGAACTAGGCTTATCAGCATTCGTCGCGTCTAGACTTTCATGACCGCTGGTTATTGTACATTTTGAGCACTACTGGATATTTTAGACACATAGATAGATCAGAACAATCAAAGTTCGAGATCCCTTATCATTCGAGAAGGAGAATTTCCTGAGCCTTTCATTGCATGGATCTGGCTGCTTATGGGCCACGAGAGAGAGTTGATCCCCTGGCAGTTGGCGTGCTCTCGGCATCGACCGGTCGGGACACCGACAAATCGCCAGGCGCGCATCGGTTCCGACCGTAGGCAAAGTAAGTAGTACGCCTTATCTCTGTTCAAAGTTTCAAGGAATCCCTGGTTTGGCCATCCATGGAGGGGAAGAAGTAACTAGAGAGAGAGAGAGAACGAATCACGCTGGAACGGAGATAAACCGGTGCCTTGACATCTTTGCTTTTCTTCGGTTCTGCGCGTATATGTCCATTCTGTCCATCCCCCAGTATCTCACGTGTAATGAAGATGATCGGTCTAATAAGTGCCTGATGGATTTGGGAATATGCTGGAGAGGTCATTCTGAGGTATAGAGAACCCAACTGGGAGATATTTGAGGGATTTGAATCAAGCCATATGGATCGACTGAGTGAAGGCAGTCAAGCAGTGGAGACAGACACTTGGACGTTGCTTTGTTTTAAGATTTGGCGCTCAGACAGTCTCCGTCTGTCTCCTTATCCAATCCGTCGCTTCTCTCTTAATCGTTTGTTTGGTGTGGTTCCTGCTTGTTAGCTCCTGCTGTGAGGGGAGTAAGAAGTAACCCAAAGGTTCGTGTGTCCACTCCCACCCCCATGTTTAGCTCCGCCCAGCTAATGTACGCTGTCAGTAAGCGGGCCTGAACAGTCGCCCTATCAGGGGCTTATCATTTCCAGCTGCTGCCACGGCTACTGCTGCGACCTGCTGCTGTCGTTGCTTGTCCACAGTACCGACCTTCCCATGGATAAGCAATTTCGGTGATTGGTGTTGGTCCCGGCGCATCGACTGATCATCGGCCTATCGGCCGCGGATAACCTCTGGTTTTCCTCACTCGCACACACACTCTCTCTATGGGACGATAATCCCCACTTCGCAGGAATCATGACGCTGCGAAGACTGTCCACCCACACGATCGTGCCCGAAATCAGCTGCAAATCATGTGGCAAACTCCCATATCACAAGCAATCTCGTGAGCTGGACGATGGCTTCGTATCCGTCCATCCAGCCATTCCTGTTCATTGGCTGTTTTAGACGCCATGGGTGAGCTAGGCACCAGTTACTAGTAGCTTTCTTCCCTGCTCTATCGCTCCTCTCTGGCTGGTCCAACGCTCCAAGTTATCTTGGTTCTTTTTCTCCGGTAATTCCCCTGTCATTTCGCGCACCTGGTAAGTTCCCAAGCCTCCATGGCTACATCCGGCGCCCACCGTTCCCGTCTACGTTATCTTCCGCTGCCCCAGCGAAGTTTATCGAGGCGCCATGACCCGTAGGCCCATCCCAAGTCTAGCGGATTTTCGCCATGAGAGCTTTAATATATTATGCTTCACCGTTAAGATAAAAGTGCCAGTGGCAGACGTCCCCGTGTGTTATCTCTAACCCTCTTGTTTGACTCGGCGCTCATCGCGCAATCTGGTCGCAAAATACTACTTCGCTGACTCGACTTGCTGTCCCAAGTCTTGCTTACTCTTATAATTACTTACAATCGACGTCAGAACGGCGGTGTACTTGGCCCTTTTCTACATTGATACTTCAACGAACAGACTGGTTGGCGAGAGAAGCCTCAAGCCTTCCCCGCAAATTCACAGAGCGCGTCCGAGCTTCTTACTACTATCGTCGTTGTTACATTCTTAACAACAGGGACACTCACGTCCACTCAAGAAGGAAAGCTCTTGTCACCTTTAGCAGCACTCTTGCCGATCGCCATCTCCACCTTGTCTCTCGGGTGTCCTTGACATCGACCATCGTAACTTTCCGGTTCCTTTGTTGAGCTGGCTTCCCCACACCAAATCCGGAGTAGGGCACGTGCCTATCAGGTACCGATCCCGGTCTTGAACGATGTGAATGTACGAAAGAACACCACGGCTTCATATTCACTGCTGTTGAAACTACTGGGAAACCTCTATTTGATTTTTGGGATTGCTTCCACTTCACTGGCCCCTCTTCGGAGGTGGCACAGCGGCCATGAATGTACAGTGGATGCTTGAATCGCGTGGGATTTTTTCCGATATCCCTCCTGATCCCCGGACCAAGGAGCAAAATAATCCCACTCTGCTCGTGAGCTGGTGGGCTACGGCTTTTTCGGTAGCCATCATCGTTGTCCGGGTTTGTGGTCGTTATATTCGGACCGAGCGTTTCTTCCGGGAAGATAAGGTGATGATGCTGAGCGTCATCCCGTTATTGATTCGCATGGCATGCGTGCATGTCGTCTTGATCTGGGGTACCAATAATACCAAGACCGTGGGCTTGTCTGCCGAAGACATCCACCATAGAGTCATTGGCAGTAAGTTCGTTCTTGTTGCGCGCATCTTCTATGCTATCTTGTAAGTCCTCCCTCTTCTCGCCGGGTGTTTTTGGGACCAGCTCTAACCGTCCTCATGCGCTTAGCATCTGGATAGCCAAGTTCACAGTATGCGAATTTCTCAAGCGAGTGGCAGGCAAGATCTGGCGACGTTCCCTCCGAATCTTCCTCAAATTCATCTACTACTTCCTGGCATCGACATTGTTGGCAGTGATCATAGCTACTCTCGCTGAATGCCAGCCCTTCGACCATTACTGGCAAGTTGTGCCCGACCCAGGTCCACGTTGTCGCCTCGGCTATGCCAACCTGATAACAATGGGATCCTGCGATGTGATGACCGATCTGCTCCTAGTCTCCTTCCCGATTCCTTTCATCGTGATGACTCACATGCCTCTGAAACGCAAAATCTCCCTCGTGATCCTGTTCGCTCTGTCTCTGATTCTGGTTGGAATCACATGCTATCGAGTGCCCTCAGTCATCTGGAACGATGGCTCACAGCAATACCGATCGCTTGTCGCGTCTTTGGAAATCTTAGCCGCCACGGCGGTCTCAAACGCTGTCATCATAGGCTCATTCGTGCGTGATAGAGGTGCCAAAAAGAACAAATTCAAAAAGGCTCAAGGATCAGCCTCCGTCAGCGAAAGCATGGATCACAGCTCCGTGCGACGTCAAACCATCACCCACCACCAGTGGGGAAGTGATTCCGATCTTGCTGCAGATCTGGGTATTCGACTGGACCCGTCATTATGTTCCGCAGACACGAAAACGCCCCGTCCTGCACCTATTGCGATGCCGATCCATCCACTGACAGCCCGTGCGGGAACTTTAGACCCCAACTGGTCCTTCAACCAGCGCTCTGGTGGCAGTGAAGACGACCAAGCCTCCAGCACGGGAAGCTTGGACATCAAAGTCAGTCCGCACGAGTACATTGAAACCAACAAGACACCGCGCAAATCATCCTCGACAGATACCACCAACCTCCGGATCTTCGATGTCGGTAGCCTTCTAAACAATCATCCCCCGACCTCTCCCACCAGCGCCCCAACTCCGCAATATTCACATTATGCCAGCGGGGCAAGCAACGCCTTCGTTCAGGATACTGGAGGACCAGCCCGAACACTTCATCTCAATACCACCTCCTCATCCATCCCGTCCCACCAAGTACCTCTTTCCTCCTCGCCCAACTTCTCCCGCCCAGGAGGTCTGCGCAGTAACTCCCATTCGTCTTCTAATCGCCGTCGCGGCTCCAGTGTCCACTTCAGTGATCCTCCGGACTCACCCGTCCCTTCTTACCGCTCTCAGGCTGATGTGTCAGCGCCTATCATGGAAGGGAACGAGGTTGAGCTCCAGGATGTGGGGAGATTGCTGTCCAGACGGTGATTGATGGTCTGTCCTGTTGGGCCCGAGGATGCTCGAAATGATTAACGATGATCACGACGTGCTACGTATTTGGATGAGTATATGACTGTAGATTCTTACCTTTTGGTTTTTCGTCTTGGGTGACCGAGCAGTACCAAGACCCGGCCAATAAAAGGTCTGATACTATCTGTGTGCCTGTGCATTGATGGCGCTCGCGCACGTAAGCTTAGCGTTGGGGATGATGATGATGATGATGGATTAGTTATATATGTAGGATATTTGTTGTGGCAATGTAAACTTTAGTCTTAACTTAATAACATCCGATTTAATCTTGTACAGCCATTGTATGAATTGTGTAGATAGATAGATATACTTGTAGTTGGAGAATAGAGGTGAAACCGAAGCACACCTTAATGTCAAAACGGAAGATAAAAAGAGACATAGCATAGACATACACACATACACCACCCGTTAAGAAACACACTTTCGAGAAGATTTTTCGCCGTTACGCCATGCTGCCCGATGCCTGTATTCGGTAAATTTTTCTTTTTCTTTTCTTTCTTTTCCTCCCTCCGTTTCCTTCCAACCCAGCCTCTCTTTTCTTGTTCCTGTTCTTTGTTTTCTGTGTCTTTGATAGACTCTTCCGAAGGGCACATTGGATCGTTTTGCTGGACCTGCGTCGGGAAGGGAGATGAGGATTGTACCTCCGGCTCAGCAATAAGCATATCGCCATAATCGGAGACAACTCAGTTCTCTCATCCCAGGACCCCCCAAAAAAACAATCCAGCGATTATATAACCCACCGATAACTGGCATACCGACCAGCCGTCTCACTTCTCCGAATAATCTTCACGACCTGACCTCTGCGCAGACCCAGGTATCTGGCAACAGGATCAGACACCTGTATACGAGGCAACTGCGACTCCTTCAGACGGTAGCGTTCCAACAAACGAGCCTTCTCATCGGGGCTAAGCAGGACGTGTTTCGGGACCAGTTCGTGGCGGGTGATGTTGACCAGCAGATCCTGCTCCTGGAAATGCTCGCAGATGCGGCCGGGCATGCTGCTCAGCAGGCGCACAGCGGATGGCGAGATCGGAGTCTGGGTGATGAACACGCCGGTGTGGAAGTTGTTCTCGTCGACGAAGTGGTTGAAGGTACGCACTTGCTTGGTGCCGACGCCGGTCGAGTCCGGGCAGAATTCAACGTAGATGGTACCGCAGTCGGGCTGGGGGTTCGGGTTGGATTTGCTGGGCAGGGGGGTGTATTTCGCTTGCATGGCTTCCGTGGGCCGGGCGCTGATTTTCATCTTGTTGCGGCTGTGTGATGGGATTTTGGGTTAGATGGGAGTTGACTGGGGGGAATTGGATGGGATAGAAGGCGCGCATACTCGGGGTATCCTAGAGGGTCGGAATATTTCTGCTTGAACTCGTGGAGAGGCATTTGGACTTCATCTTCGGTCACCTCGTAGCCCTGTGGATTTGGGGATTCGGTCAGTGGAATGTTCGCGGGGTGGCTATTGTAGCGTCGCTGGAGCTGGAACTGGAGAAAATTCTTACACGATCCAAAAGCATCTCAAAGACTGTCCGCCATGTGCGCCAGAGCCTGGTCATCTCGCGGTCGGCGTCCACGGAGCCTGCAGAGTAGTCCTCGTCCATGGCTAAGGGGGTTTAGCACACCGCGGCGCGAAACTTGAAAATGGAAGAAATTAAGTGTAAAGGTCAAAGAAGAGCGAGAATCGGGCAAATAAACCGATCAAGCCCGGAGAACGCGGAGCAGGAAGCTGTCTAGACTGGAGGGGAGAGAGGCGATGATGGAAGCAAAATGCGGTTCTCGAAAAATCGGCGGGCCAGCGCTAAAAGCGCCAAACGGTAAGCGCCGCCTTTTGGTCCAGCAAAGGCCAGACCAAGAAAAAGAGTAACGACTTTCTCCTTCTCCAGCGTTCTCTTTCCATTTCCCCCTCCTCAACCCCCTCCTCCTCTTCCCTTTCCCCCTTCTTCCCGCTCGTTGGAGCTTTCTTTTCCCGGTTGATTTCGGTCAATCGCGCTCTTTTTGTCGAGTGTTGTCTTATTATTGCTTCTCTCCACCTCTTAACATGGCCGCTGACGCCAAATCCGCTCCTGCCACGGAGCACAAGGTGAAGCCTACTAAGCCCAACGAGGAGGCCTTCAAGGCCGATCTCGCCCAGGCTGAGAAGGAGCATGCCGCTGTTCAGGCCAAATTGGTATGTGAGGATTGTTTTCTCGTTCAATTGGCATCGTGCAATCGCATTTCCTTGCCTTGGATGCGGTGATTCATTACCGCTCCGTGGCCTTTTCTCTGCCCAACTGCCCATTGGAACTGCCTTACGCTACACTGCATCTATTGGTGTCCCGCCTTTTTACCCAATCGCAAGACGGATGCAACCTACCATCTACCGGTGATCATAGAAGACTAACTCTATCAAAGACCGAAATCAAGGCCAAGATCGAGACCGCCAAGCCCAACAACCAGGACTCGCCCGCCGCGAAGAAGCAGCAGGAACTCCGCGCTGAGCTGTCTTCGATCCGTCAGAAGCAGCAGGGATTCAAGGCTTCTCGGTCCAGCACCCAGGAGAAGATCAATGCCCTCGATGCTACCCTCAAGGCTCGCATTTCCGAACAGAACAACTCTCGTACGCGCATGTCCTTCAAGAATGTCGAGGAACTCGACCGCGAAATTGCCCGCCTCGAGAAGCAGGTCGACTCCGGTACCCTCCGCTTGGTCGATGAGCGCAAGATTCTGTCCGACGTCTCCAACCTGCGCAAGCAGCGCAAGAACTTCGCCGGTTTGGAGGAGGCCCAGAAGGTCATCAACGACCTCAAGACCCAGATCGCTTCCCTGAAGAAGACCCTCGACAACCCCGAGGCCAAGGCTCTTAGCGACAAGTACTCCGAGATCCAGAAGGAGCTCGATGCGATCAAGGCGGAGCAGGACAGTGCCTTCAAGAACCTCAACGCTCTGAGGGACGAGCGCACCAAGCTCCACGGCGAGCAGCAGAAGAAGTGGACCGCCATCCGCGAAATCAAGGACAACTACTACAAGGCCCGCAAGGCCTACAAGGAGTACGAGGACGAGGCCTGGAGAGTCCGCCGTGAGAAGCAGAAGGCCCAGCGCGATGCTTTCGAGCGCGAGAAGCGCAAGAAGATCGCCGACAAGAAGCTGGAGGAGGCCTCTCGTCTTGCTTACACCGACGAGATCCTCACTGCTCAGGGTCTGATCCGCCACTTCAACCCCTCCTACGACTTCGTTTCTCTGGGTCTGGATGAGAAGAAGGATGAGAGCTCCAGCTTCCGTGCCGACGTCGGTCGTACTGTGGACGACTCCAACCTCAAGGGTATGAAGGTTCTCAAGAAGGAGGACCGCGAGGAGGACTACTTCGTTGGCACTGGCGGCAAGAAGGGTAAGAAGGGCAAGAAGGGCGCCAACGGCAGCCCCGCCCCTGGCACCCCGACTGAGACCAAGTTCAACCTCAACGTTGGTGTGATCGAGGACTTCGCCAAGGTCAAGATCGACCCTCCCATGAACCAGTCGGACGTTCCTGCTGTGATCGAGAAGCTTGCCGCCAAGATCACCGAGTGGAAGAAGAACCAGGCCTCCAAGACCGAAGAGGTGAGTTAAAAGCCTTCTCTTGATTGAGATTCATTGCTAACGCCCTATCCAGAACATCAAGAAGGCCCAGGAGGAGATTGACCGCCTCGAGGCGGAAGAGACCGCCGTCAACGGTGCCACTGACGCCGCCAAGAAGCCCGCTATCAAGAACAGCGGTGTGAACGGCGAGGTTTCCGCTGAAGCCGAGCTGAAGCAGGAGAAGGACGCTGCTGCCGACGTGTCGGAAGAGCTCCAGAAGGCCAGCCTCGAGGAGTCTGCCTAAATCAACCGCCAAGCATAGAGTGTTGCATCGCATTGCATCCGCATATTGCATCAGCCATGCTCATTGTTAGATTTGCAAAAGCTCGAGACAAGCATTTGACACATTTACACCCTGCGTGATCCGTTGGTTCTCTATATGCATCCAGGAGTCGTGTACCCCGACCCCTACCTATCTATCCCTACTACGCCGCTTTCCTCTACCGAGATGCCCCCTTTTGTCTTACGAAAACAGAAACCAATATGCACGGGTATTGGTTTCTTGCGTGATCACCGTGCTACCAGCCTCGGTTGGTCTACGGACCAAGCCCGGCTGGGTTCCTTTTCCTTCTGTGTAATTGACTTTTGACCCTACCTTTACCTACTACCTATGCTTTCTTATTTCATGTCTTACCATATTCTCCTCTCTTATCTTTCCCAGTCCCGAGACTGGCGACAGCCAGGAGCATTCAGTTAGCGATTTGTTTAGCAGCGTGTCGTGTAAGTAACGAATGAGCGATTGGAAAAGCAAGTTGTACGGATTGAATGTAGGACGTTGAGCGATCTTATTACAGTGATGTTTATGTGTAGACAATTACATACCAGAATCTAATTGTAGACTGTCTACATCGTGTCCTTTAGCGGCCTATCACTAGTCTTATATATGCCATCATGCCAAGATCCTTTGCTACTGACACTGATCATTAGCAAGACTACCATCTCATCAAACATACACTATACCCATAGACAATGCAAATAATTCCAGCCAACAGACAAGAATAACAGTCATCAACAAGAATACCACGATTAATATTACTTTTATCACTTCTATCCTCATCAATACCCACCCTGCCCACCCTGCTCTTTCTCTTGACTACTACTACTACTTCCCCCCTGCTGTCCCTCCTGCTGCCCACTCTGTCCCTGTTGCCCACTTTGACTCCCCCCTCCCTGACCCGTCGTACTCCCCGCCCCATCCGCCGCCGTCGTCGTCGTAGTAGAAGCAGCCGAAGCCCCATACCCCACCGCCGTAGACGACGACGCCGTCGCACTCGCCGACGAAGAACTATTACTACTCGAACTCGTCTGATAAACCTTAAAGCTCTTAAACTCCCAATACGCATTCGTGAAGTTGGCCCCATTCTCCGCGGCCCATTTCGTGCACGTCGACGGACAATCATACAGATCGGTGTAGTAGGTGCTCGCGCCCGCAAGATCACCACAGATATCGATGTTAACGATAATACTCTGGTTCTTGAAATGCGACGAGATGTCGCAGTTCGTGTTGGGGAAGTCGGCGAGTGCTTCGCCCCAGGTCGATGGGTCGGGCGTGCTGCTCGAGTTGGAGATGTCGCTGGGGATGGAGTCGCGGGTGAACATCCATACGCGGATGCCGGCGGGGCGGAGTTCCATGGCGTAGACCTGGTGGATATATTAGATATGGGGGTTGTTGGGGATGGAATGGGGGAATGGGGAATGGGGGGATTGGGGATTGCTTACGCCGCCACCATTGCTGTTGAATTTCTCGCCATATGTTGCCTTTGCACCTGTTACGCTGCAGCCGGCGTTGTCGTTTGCGGTGTTGAGGCAGTTGGTGTATTTGGCTGTGCCGGTTTCTTTGCGCTTCACGTTCATTTTGCATCCGCTTGAGGTGTGTAATGTCATGGCGTTGCCGTGGGTGGCTTTATTGTTGGACTCCAGGACGTCGATTTCGCCGTGTTCGGGCCAGTTACTAGGGTCTGTGAGCCAGAGGGCGGGCCAGGTGGCGCAGCCGTAGGGCGTGTGGGTGATGTCGAAGATGAAGAGCCCATCGTTGTAGGTTTTCTTGGAGGTGATGCGCACGGATTTGCGGCCGCTGGTTTGGTTTGAGGTGTCGGTGTCCACGCGCAGGACGGCGCGGGAGCTGGATGCGTAGGTTAGGTTCATTTCTGAGGCGGTGGAGCTGTCGACGTAGCTGGGATAGGGTTAGTTGAGTTCTTTGCTTTGTGTATATGGAGGGAGGTGTGTGTGGAAGTGATGCACATACTCTACAAATCCGTCTGTCGTATCGGCGGCTGTGTAGTATTCGAACTCGTCAAAGAATGAAGAGCCCGAGTATGTATCTGCGAGCTTATAGCTCAGTGCAGTGTAGTCCGGATATGAAGATGATTTCGTGCCCTCGTAGATTCCCACAACAAGCGCAACGATGACAACCACAACACCTCCGGCGACGAGCAACTTCGTTAACAGTGACCATGAGCGCGGGTCATACCACGGTCCTCCGGCGCCCTTTGCAACACCGGCTTTCTGTGCTGCTTCTGCTGCTCCTGCTCCTGCTCCTGCAGCTACGGGAGCCGATGCAGTGGCTGTATACGGCGGTGCGACAGGGACATTGTGTAACTCGTAATCGGGGAGGTTCGCCCTATCGGAGACATCTATACTTGATAGATTTCTGTAAGACATGTCGTGGCATACGCACGTCGCATGAAAACAATTTTGGAAAAGTAAAGACCCTTCTGGGTCCGCACTCCATCTTATTCAAGTAATGAGCTGGCAAGCTATACAATAGGCTTAGATCGCCAGGGTATCATGGAGCCCCTTAAGACAGAAAAAGTCAGCTAGTGCATAAGTAAAAGCATCAGGATTCATACCAAAGCTTTTCCATTGGTTTGTTGACCGGTCCCCCACGGCGCCCGGCTGTTACAATGACTTGATCAACCCGAAGGGGTCATGTCGAAAAAATGAAGACATACGTAAGCGCTTATTCGGCTCAGAATAGATAAACCAACCGTTATGGCCGGCAGCCGTAGGGCTCGCCAAGAATAGCAAGGGAAACTAGTATAGTGAGGGAAATCGCTGTAGTTGGATGGGATCTGCAGGCTAAGATGGGTGCGTTGCGTCTTTTTACCAGGTTTCGAGTTCTGACTCGTGCACGACTAGTCCCGGCAGATAAAATGGCTATTAAGCATAACAGCCCATGCATGTTCAAACGGTAGAAAAGATGTTGATATGTTGATATCGATGCCACATATACTCGGTGGAGCGCTTACGCAATGCGGCCATAAGTTAGCGCGTAGCCACGAATGAGCGGCTGGCCGACAAGGCTGCGCGGGGTTTGTGCCATAGCAAAAATATCTGAAGCGGGATAGACGGCATGTCTATTGAGTGTGAAGTGATAACGTGTGTATCGTTTCTTGAGTATGTGTACTCCGTTCGGAGTCGGCTAATTTGCCTTGTGATGTTCCAATTGCTCGGCGGGGAAGAGGTGCCAGAATTGAACCTGTACTTGGACCGAGGCACCGTGTAAAGTCCCATAATGCACTGATACGGACCCTTGTTCGACTTGGTGGACATTCTAAGGGTCTGAGTGACCTTTGGAAAAATCAGGGTTGTCCGGGGCATACGTATGCTCCGTAGCCGACAGACCCGGGCAAGCCTGTCGCCAGAACATACCCACGGCTGTCTCGAGCATTAATTGTCTGCTTGCAGCACGAAAAAAGGCACCGCAATTGGGCATAAGACCTGCCTTGACTGCCAACCCACGTCTAAACCCTCTACAGTGTACCGATGTTCAAAGCTTCGACGGAGATGAAGCACGGCTACTCATTGTGTAGCAGACAAGGCTGATTTCTCAGCAAAGAAGGCTATTCAACACTGCGAACCCCTATTTGAAAGATTTATTATTTTGGATGAGCCCACCATTCTCGAAAATGGCGTACTTACGTGTCGACGTAGATGACGAATGCCTTCGATTAGGCTGCTATGGCGGTGCCGTTTTAGCGTGCAAAATAGACTCCAGACCCTCGTCGGCTCGCGAATATTTAGTTCCTGTGTGCTTGATCCATATTAGCTTCGGCGCAGTTTCAGATTGGGCTGAGTGATGAGTGACCCACCATCCGTGGGATGGTCCTAGCACCTTTCGGAAGGTGAATGCTTGACGCAGTCTGATCGGGGAAAGGTGAGACTTGTCGACCGAAGAAAGCCAAGGAACCACTAAGGGGTGGAAAAGGACTCTAGAAAGAGTGTGTTGGATGTTGACAGAGAGATACAGATTGGCTTTGCTTCATACCATCAACTGTGCTGTCGAAGTGTCACTCTTAGTGTGCCAAGTATGAATCAATTATTACTCCCTACAACGGCGATAAAACAGCACACAAGCCGGCTGACTGAGAATGCATATTTACTGAACATTGATCTGGTTATACACCACCAACAAGCGACTTATTTTTAAGTCTGAGTGCGGTGCTAGATGTTATAGTGATCCTAATCTTTCAGCTGCCTGCCTATTAGTGAAGCGTGAGTTAACTGTTATGCAAGCGTAACGCACCCGAACTTAATATAGATCAGTGATTACGAGGATTACAAAACCAAGGCGTGAACAAACGATTTGTTTCCTCATTCTCATGAAACGAGAGACTACAAGACTCAATAAGGGTTGCGGTATGATGGTGTACACGCATGCTGATAGGACTGGTGTCTGAAGCTCATTTCCAACGAGCACTTAGGATCTCGGAATCACTAAGCTCAGGAAGCATCTCTATCAGAATATTCATATCAGTATATCCATCAGAGCTTCCGTAAAAGATTTCCTCGGTATTTTTGTGTTACAATTGCCCAGCTGACATTTCATTGGGATTGAACTGAATGGAATAAGAATCACCAGATTCTAGCCCAACCAAAAGTATGTTATTCTGAGAAGCCCAGCCTTTCTCCAGGTTCGAAGGTAGATAGCCCGGGGGCAATCATATGCTTTTCTACTTTCCCAAGACTACCCAACTGTCCTGGATGGAGATCTCTGAACTGTGTGTTGCACTAGTATGAGATTAACAAGTTCCAAGACTTCATCCCTTCTCTTTGCTCATAGAAGGTTCATTCTGCAGATATTGGAGGATAAATGCTAATGCTTTTCGGTTAGTGAACTTACATCCACGCTTGATGAAATCACGGCCCATGGCAGTGCAGTTAGGGAGACGTTTTTCAGAGGGAATATCAAATTTGGCTTTGACCTGCTTGATCACATTGATAGTACTCTCCGAATGCTCAATAGCTTTCTTATATTTTCCAATTCTGGCAAGGCCTTCTTCGACCACCTTTTTCATTTGCTCTTCTCCAAATGTAGAAAGGACTCGTTTGTTTCGACCGCTTTCTCGGCTGTGGATTGGTTCAGAATTACTCTTCGAAGAATCTCCTCTTATCTTAAGATGTATTCTGCCTGCTTAGAGTCATTCTTAAGATTATTATAGGTCTTTATCAGGGAGCTTTATAAGTAAAAGCTGCCTTGTCGGTAATCTAGTGTCTATGATATGCACCAGTATCACTGATAGTCCTGTCATCAATAGCAGGTATTTTGTTATATTGTCACATCTTCATGGTTCAACTAACATTGTGAGCGTCGTCGCTGCTGGGAGAGCTGTTTATGAACTTATCCTTATCGTTCTTTTCGGGGTTTCAATTGTCTGCCTCATGTCTCACTTCCTCTGCATATCTGCCTTTCTTGAGGCCTCCAGGCAATATCACAAGACAACCAGTCTTGCACAGTGGGATTTTGAGATACTACAAGATCTTGCGAAGTTCTGTAGTGTAGTTGTAATTGTATATTGATTAGTAACAGAGCGCTGGATTAGATATTCTCAGCTCACAAAACTGAAAGAAGAAAGATTTCGAGACGTCCGTTATGTACTTAGAATGTGATAAGAACCAAACACTCAGCTCAGCCTCGGATAAATAAGAATTGGTACGGCGCTGTGTTTTAGGACGAGCATAGGAAAAAAACAAGCAAAAGAGATAATCCCCCGAACCAGAATCGAACTGGTGACTTTTCGGTTACAATAATTACCATTACAGCCGAACGCCATAACCAACTAGACCATCGGGGGTTCTTATAATGTACTCTTCTACTCCGTATGATTTCTATTATATCGAGCATCTTTAGCCGAGTGAATACTAAAAATGGCAACCAACCCAGCCACCGTCAGCCACCACGCCAAGATAAGATATTCGTCATGCTTTCCCCTCTTTCCCCAACCACCGATTTGGTAGCGAAGTCACGTTCAGGGCAGCCTACGCTTCATCCGCAACAATGATGAAACAAGACGCTGTGTGACAGAGACTCTCCAATGGTTGTTTGTTTCGTATGGCACCACGAGACTGTAGACACATAAGCTAAGTAGTTGGCATCTGCACGACATCTTTGTCCTCCCCAACATCTCAATTCCGCCCGCGTAGACCGACATAGCCGGTTGCCTAATCCGGACCACTCGCCAAGCTGCCATCAATCGTTGGTTTCTCTCGGCGCTTCTCTTCGTCTCTTTTCCCGACTTTTTCTCCTCACATCATCACCTCCCCCTCTTCTCCTCTCCGCACATTCCGCATCATAGAGAAGACTCTCATTTCTACCAGAACCTAAACTGCGCCGACAGGCATTCCTTACCGGAACTAAGAACGCATAACTACTGGTCGCGTCCGAAAGACTTGCGACTGTCTCCTTATTAAAGATGTCTTACAACAAACCTGTACGTTGAGTCAACCTCTTCACCACGTCTCACTCCACCACTGACCGATAATTGAACAACAGGACCAGCCTCCTCCGTCCTACCCTCCTCCAACCCACGACGCCGGTCCCTACCACCAAGGCGCATCGCAAGACTACTACAACCAGGGTGGTTACCCTCAACAAGGTTACAACCAGGGATATCCGCCCCAGGGCTACGGTCCTCCGCCGCAGCAAGGATACTATGGTTCTCCTCCGCCTCAAGGCCAGCCGATGTACTATCCCCCGCCGCAGCAGCAACAAGGTTACTATGCCGGACAGGACCGGGGCGGATCCTCCGGGGGTGGTATCTGCGCGGGTATAATGGCCGCATTGGCCTGCTGTTGCTGCTTGGATATCCTGTTCTGAGAAACGTGCTGCTTTCAGTGACCTTTTGATTGCGTTTGGATTTGGTGCCTGCGTTCTCTTCTCGTCTAGATTGGATGCGATTGACTACTACTGATACTGTATTGCCATTCTTTGGTTGGGCGCAAGGATTCACGGAGCACGGTTCGCGCGGGGTTTGTCTGTGTTTCTATATTTGGGTGATTTTCAAGTCGGGTCAGTCAGGTCAGGTCAGGTTTAACTGGCGTCGGCGCTTAACGGCGCATGGTCTTTGGACGACTACTCGAGTCGGTCACTTTCGTTGAAATCTAATCATTTTTACATCGGTAGTAATTAACATTATTCATTCCTAGTTCCGTTCGTTTATGCGTTCTTTTTCGTGCAAAACTGACTCGCAAATTAAACCTAATCATAAAACATCACAGGGCAGGGTATCAAATCATCGTCGAAGGACAGGACCAAATCGCAACGACAGCCTTATATAACAAAACACAATAGCAATCACTCGACATCAACTTCACCCGCTACCCAGGTCCTCCACTAAGACCTCAAACTCTCATCCTCCGTCAACCCCCCATACGCCAACGGATCCACAGCCCGATAATGCCCCGGCCGACTGCGTCTCCTCCGCCCACTCCCTCCCGGCCCCTCCACACTGGAATGTTCCTCCTCCACCTCAACCACATTCGACGGACCAGACGATGTAACCGACTCCTCCACGACAATGCGCGAATCTCTCCCCCGACTGGCTCTTGACCTGCGACTCCGCCGACTTCCGCCGCTATCAACGATCTCCTCGACAACTTCGCGCCGCCGACGCCGTGGTGGTCGTCGCGAAATCGAGCTTCCCTCTTCCTCCACCACCACCTCCGACATTGTTGCCGACGTCGCGGTACTGGGTTCGCTAGAGAAGCGTCGTCCGGAACCCAAGGCGAGGAATATTAAGTATAAGAGGAAGATGAAGCCTAGGACGCTGCCGATGATGACGCCGGCGACGGCACCGGGTGAGAGGCCGTTACTGTTGTAGGTTCCGGGGATGAAGGCGGCGGAGGAGCGTTTGAGGAGGGTGGAGGGGATGATGCTTCGAAGAGATAGAAAGGACGGTTGAGATTTTTGTGATAAGGGAGGTGGAATGAGGAGCTTGAGATCTGGTGGTGGTGGTATTCGTGGGATCGGGATTGGAGTCATTGTGGTTTGTCGATGGTGGAGGTGGAGATGAAGATTAAAGTGGAGGCGGGGGATCTGGCGGGTAGATCCAGTAGTAGTTGTAGACTGATGTGGTGGTCGTGGAAATGTTTCATTGAGGGATGGGTAGTGTAGACATGGATGTAGCTGGATATTGACCTCACAATAAGGAAGGCAATAGCTAAGAGGCAGGGAATGTAGATGAAAAGAAGAAGAAGAAAAGACGAAGTGATGGGGCGGAGCGCATTGACGGTGGGTTTTGGGGATTAATCGGTGGCTGGGATGATGGGATGCGATCGACAGCAAGGCTCGATGCTGGCATTCGCGAATCAGCGTGGAGGATGTGAGACACTGGGTACTGACTTTTGTACCTGAACAATAAAATGTCTATTCTCTTAGTTTGATGGAATGATGCGTTTGAGTTATTGTCCGCTCTATTGTCATTGAATGATGGAATGTGCTGGTGGATCAAGGCGCAGATCGGAAATGCTTGGGTGCCTTATCGATCTATGCTGGTGCTGCTGCTGCTCCACCGTCTCTTCCCCTACCGCTGTCGCTGTGTGTTTGGCTGCACGTTTACTGTCATTATTTCCCCACAACCCATTCTTCAGTTCAAGAAACATACTAATAATCAATTTGACGAAGGATCCTTCTGCTTTCTATGCGCGAACTGGATTTCAAGAAGCTGATATTGCAATAGAAATATGAGTAACCCATGCCTTTTGCTGCGGCAGCCCCTACGCTTAACCGTCACTTTCTCTTACTGTCGCTTCATTTATAAAGCAAGCCAGCCAAGTATTTCCCGCCGAGCCTGTCGTGCATTTTCTCTCACTGCATGGAGACCCGTGACACCACCCATGAAAGCGAGTAACGCCCATGTATGAACCTATTGAGGATGTGGAAAAAATGGAATATTACCGGGCTGGAGGCTATCACCCAGTAACGATCGGGGACCGGTTTCATGATCGCTACCGGGTAGTCCATAAACTCGGCCATGGTACATACTCGACCATTTGGCTGGCCCGCGATGAAGTATCCAATAGATATGTGGCAGTGAAATTTTGTACGGCGGATTCGAAACCCCTGGAGAACGTGGTGCTGTCCAGGCTGTCACAACCCCAGCAATCGTCAGGCATAGACCAAGGTTTGATCCCTACAATTTCAGATATCTTCAATATACAAGGCCCCAATGGCAGTCACGCCTGCTTGGTCACCAGGCCAGCACGAATGAGCCTGTCAGATGCAAAGAATGGATCATGGATCAGTCTCTTTCAGCTTGAGGTAGGCCGAGCGATAGCAGCGCAGCTCATGATTGCTGTCCAGTACATCCACTCCCAAGGTATTGTCCATGGGGACCTTCACCGTGGGAATACTCTACTTCGGCTATCCCGTGACTTTGACGAGCTGTCGACTGAAATGCTCTATGAAAAATATGGAGAGCCGATACTCGAGCCAGTCAATAGATTAGATGGTCAAGAGATTCCGCCAGAGGTGCCACAGCATGGTGTGATACCTCTATGGCTTGGAGAAGCAAGTGAAGATGTAACACTCCCGGAAGCCAAGGTCCTGGTTTCAGACTTTGGTGAAGCATTCTGTCCTTCGCATGAACAAAAATTCGAGTCTCATACACTTGTGGTCCGTCCCCCGGAGGCCCGGTTTGAGCCAACCCAGCCTTTGACTTTTTCGTCTGATATCTGGACACTTGCCTGTACCATGTGGGATATTATGGGACAAAGAACACTATTTGAGGGCCTTCTGACAAATGATGACGACATGACTAGCCAACAAGTCGAATTACTTGGTCCGCTGCCCTCCGAATGGCTCACCAAATGGACAGAAATTCGAGACAAGGGTAGCAAGTCGACCCACCAACCTCCCACATCTTCGACTCAGTCATGGGAGGATCGATTTGAAAAACATATGCAGCAGTCGCGGATACGGGAGGGAATGCCACCATTTGAATCAATAGAACGTGATGCTTTCATCTCCATGTTACGCTCTATGCTTCGCTTCAGGCCGGAAGATCCCCCTTCTGCATAGTAGGTCCTTGAGTCGGAATTGATGGTGAAATGGGCATTGCCTGAATATGAGAAGATTCGCAATATTGATTGAGAGCGAATAGGTGGAATCGTCTTTCCTAATACCTCTCTTGTTTGGCTGAAGTGATAAACACTGATATTAGAGTAGAAAGTCTGTGGTAACTATGCTTTATGTTTTATTAGATACCAGGGAGGACACCATATTCATGATAACCGTGGGTCGATTAGAAACATGCTATTGCTACCCAAGTCCTCACATGAGACCTACCATAGTATGCAGTGTTGAAGCAAAATGCCTCACCTCAGACCATAGGGGTCCTATCATCTTGGAAGTTCAACTAGGAGCCGACAAGAAGCCTATGACATGAATATTAGGAAACTTCCAAAAAACGATGACATTGTTATCGACTCATATAGATCTCTATCAGGACGCTTCTTTTCTTTTTCCTTTTCTCTTTCTGTCTTTTGTTATTTCTATTTGACTACGCGATTTAGAGGCCTTCATTACTTAAAATTATTTCCCTAGCCATTAATACTAAAAGAGTGCGCGAATCTTAATATGCTAAGTATATCATCCCACTCAAACCTAATTACCCTGTGTAGTGTGAGTCATAAAAAATGATTCTGGTACCAGGTAGCATCATTACCAGCACTATAGCACAAGCCCTGTAGACCCCTGGAGATAGAGAAGAGTGGGACAATCTTTCAAGAGGCACATCCGTGGTTTCCAGCGTAAGATGTGCAACAGTGTCTTGATAACCCAATATTCCACGGAAATGAACTATGTGATATTGTTATGCAGAAAGTCTTATGGAGACATTAGATGAGCCGTGAAAATAGATCAGGGAGGATTGCACTGCACACTCGATACATGTTTCAGTAGCTTTCACACACACAGGTGTAACTTCGGGCAAGTATCCAGGCAAGACAGACGCTTGAATAAGTGATTCAGACCACTTGGATCAGTATATCCTCTGAGCTGTCTGCGCACGACAACTGGACTGCGGAACAATACCCTGGCAGATCAGGCAGGACTAGGGAGCAGGTCCGGATATGTGAATGTTTCAGCAAAATATGCTACATCATTGCTATTGTACCAGTTTGCTGTTTGAGTCTGTTTTATGGCGGCAATGTTCTCTCGCTGGCCCAAATCTCTCTCGTCTTCGGGTTCAACATCAAGGGGGAATATATTGTTCTCCGGGGTTGAAGCGAGCCATCATGTTCTTGACACGATAATTATTTCTCAACATTCAGTTTCCCATTCCGATTCATATTTGAAACGGGCATCTTAATGAGTGATAGGTATGACAACGCTGAATGATGAGGCAAGCAGTATTGGGGAATTGGGGAAGGAAACAATCTTTCTCGAACAAGGGTACCTAGGAGAGAGGCACTGAAGGTTTTCAGCCTTGCATTGGGCTTCACACATCACTGCAATTTCTGGCGCTTCGATCATAAAACCCTGCAACATATCGTTCAAAAAGCAGCGGAATTACCCTTTCCATATTGGTCTTCGAGCCCACGTAACACCCACGCTGTTCGTGTTGCCTTGTTCCATTGGACAACCCTGACGATGAGATACATGGCGGAAAATCGAGGTAGCCTGGTCCATCCGCGGTTGTACCGAAGAAAACGACGGCTGCCTCGCAGGCTTGGAATAATTCGACGATTTTCATCCGTATACTTTCGTATTCATGGTTATTATCAGAAGTGCTGAATTCTCAGACTAACCCGGTAGTTATTGTGCGAGTACTGGTTCTTGTATGTCCCCATACGTAAAGCTTGACCAACGCCCCAATGCAACGTCCGTGGGCTTGGCATAGGCAGTGAACGAGATCGACTTCTCTCATAAAGAGCGCCATAAGATCCGGAAGAGCCCAGTATGGTACCTCGTGGTACATGGTTCGATGTATAAGGATGCCTGTGCTTGTATTCGGCCAGTTAGGGTTATTGACACGGTCGATGCTGTGAGGGGTAGGTGGAACAAGGTAGTCGTAGATGATCGGGGACTAGCTAATACTCTTTCGTTCCGTTGCATGGCGTGAGAACAACGATGTCATTTGGCCTGCAGTGTTTGACCTAGAGATATATCGTGGTCCTCCTATACCAAGTTCCTTGAGACATGGAAGCTTTAGTTGTTTGATATCTCCGTATGCAAAAGTTGAGGAACGCCCCAATGTGGCATTGGCAAGATTGTAGCCATAGTATATGGCTTATTTGCTAGTGTCCCTTGAGTCTTCTATCAGCTTTTGCACTGCTCCATTGTCCAGTGCTTGTATCTTGGAGACAATCGATTCCAAAGGCGTCCAGCCACGCTTTCTCGTTCTGAGAAGATTAAGATGTATAACATTGTGACCATAGTAGCTATTGCCTTTGCTACTGCTCGTAGTGTCGCTCATCAACTTTTGCACTGCCCCGTTGTCCAACGACCGTCTCTAGGAGACATCGTTGTTAAAGAAATCAGTGCGTTGTTCCGGGAAACATCTGAGGGACATTTAACCATTTAAAAATTCGTCACGAAGTTGAGGTAAAAGGGTATGAGTGTGGCAGAGGATATCAGCCATCATTGCCACAGTTCTCGAATCTATATCATAGTCTTAGCAAGCAGGACAGCATGAGATACTTTTTTGTACTTACCACGACGGAAACATGAGACGAAATGTATCGAGTAAAACAGCCAAGATATCGTGCATATATTCGACTATTTGTCCTACATAACATAGTGAAGAGCTTGCGCGAGCTCTGACGTCCCTCGAGGAAGAATCCAAGAGTCCGTTCAGTTGATAGAAATGGCTCTAGCTCTTTGAAGAGTTCGGATAACATAAGATCTTGCAGTGCGCTATCTCATGAAATGATATTAGATTATAGAGGACCAGTCATCCGTTAAATAGTTCCAACTAAGATTGGATATGTAGAATTGAGACATCAGAACGTACGGAAGATAAAGACGAGCGAAGGGGGTTGGTTGCATCTTTATAACGGTTGTCTTCGACATTCAATTGCTGGTCCTGCTTATTGAATGTGTTTTTGTTATGAATTGCAAATGGTACTTCGTTGCTTCATCTAGGAAGAGTGAAAGCGACATGGGGGTATATCGCTATAGCTCTGGGGTGAAGGTGTGTGGCTTTCCCCAGGGAAGAGGGTATGAAGGGGCTAAGGTGCGCCATGTAAATCGATTTCCTCCAGATATATAGATGATTGTGAAAGTGATTCATGATAAATTCATCTTAAAAAACAAGCCTGTAAGACTTTGCTTGCTGTTCAGAAAACCATGATTCTACCAGGATAAGATCAGGACATGAGTACGAGGTACGAGGCCCCTTGAAATAGGCGGAAGTGTATATTGAATTCAACTAAACTTTTGTGGGTTGTTCCGTTCGAGCGCCGGCATATTCCCTGGGCATAGTCCAACAGCTTGGGATTCCCACGATGTTCACTGCAAGCGTGGAGGCGATATTTTCTGACATGTAAATATCTTTATGGCTAGTGCAGGGTGAATAGCATTCTGGCAATAAATAGCTGCACCTTATACCCGTTCACTTTCGTGCAGATCTAAGGTGATAGGGACCAAATCCTATCATAGGGAATATGCTAAGTAGGGTGGGCTTGTGTACACTTCACAGAAATAGCCTGGGAATGTATAAAGGAGGCACCCGCCACATTTTGATGAGCTTTGATGAATGCTCAGAGGGGTCCCTCTGTTGGCGCCTTACAAGTCGGAGCAGAAGTAAACACATCACTACATTTCCCATGCTGATAGTCGGTTCTATATACTTTCCTACTTCTATTTCACCCCATCAAGAAGCCCATCTGTCCCCTTTGAGAATCGACTGTACGTATCCGCAAAAGTCTCATCCTCACCAACGCATATCCTATAGGTGATCCTAGCATAGTCCTCTGCTTGACTTGCTAGTTCAGGAGCTAAATCGCAATACGCTCTGCAAAGAATCATCCAACATCTAACAAGTCCATCCATCATCAGACCCCATTTCATAACGTGTAGCGGTGCACCAGAAGTATACGGGACTCCTCCGCCTTCAAGCACATACCCAAGTGACTCTAAAGTCTTCAGTGCAAACTCAACAGTCTTCGCTAAGACGCCCTGTGCGGCGTGGGCCTCCGCTATGCCCAAATACGCCTTCCAGATACCGAGACGTGGGACTTGAACGGCTGGCTTGCGATACGTCTCCTCAAGTTTAGAAATAAGTTCCTCAATTCGAGCCATAGCTGACTTCGGCTTGCGGGGCTTGCTCAGGGCCCGAAAAGCATTCACCAAGTCCGCTGTGAGCCTCCTTCGCTTCATCAGATCACTCTCCTCTGTCTCAGTGGAATCTTGACAGATCACGCAGTTGCACTTGAAGCCCCAGTGTTTCAGGTTGAGTTGTTTTGCCTTGGAAGTGCTGTCCGAGGGTTGTTGGTACCAGAAAAACAGCTCGGTATTCGCAGGGAGGTCCTGAGTAGCACGGACGATCATCATATCACCAATGAATGAGCGGCGAACATTGCTGTAGCAGGAATGGTTGATGTAGGATGCTAGAGGCCAGACACCGCAGGAGTGGAACTTCTTGTTCTCAGCGGGTTCTGACTGTGATCCGGCGTCTTTCATGGTGCATAGGTGGGATTCGCGGGAGGAGAGGGGGCAACCGAAGCAGTTGAGTGACATTATACGCTCAATGAGAAAGCTAAAGGTGTTAGCTCTTCCGTTAAGGTAAAATGAATCCAGTGTTTAGAACTCACGTGTCTACGACAGGTGTACCGTCAACTTCCGCAACCTCAACAGGATGGTACGAACCGTGATAAAGGTCAGTGAACTTCGACCTAAGCGACGGGTTTTTGTATAGTTTCTGTGCGATTAAAGCGATAAGGTCCGCCTGAGTACCCACTGTGATGGTGTTTGTTTCCGGGTTCATCAAGATCGAGACGCTGCCCGAAGCACCGGCGACTTCGTCATGAAATGCATGCGCAAAGGCTTTCTCGCAAAATAATAGATCACCGGCTCGA